TTCTTCTTCTTCTTTTTCTTCTTCTTCTTCTTCTTCTTTTTCTTGCTCGTCGGCGGCTGGTCCAGAAATAGCAGCAGCTGTTAGAGGTTGTGTGAGGATGATGATTATTCGCGGTAGTTTTTTTTTTTTTTTTATGTTTTTCAGCGACGAATTTTCCCTTTTTGTCGCTTTTTCTTGAGTCTTTCTCGTCGCTTCTATTGTGAGTTTCCAGCTTTGATGCCACTCAGTCTGCGGCCGGGGTCTGACTAATTAGCGGCTTGATTGACAGCTAGGTAATTGGATTTATTTCATATCCGCTCCTTGAAGTTGTGAAGCCTCTTACGGTCTCAGGCTTCACTCCCGTAGAAAACAATGATAAGAGCTGCTGCAGAGCTGGTGCTTCACTCTCATGTTAATGCTGGTTTCCTTTTACAAGTCAGAGAGGCTCAGAGGCCCGAGACTGCAGGACAGAGCAGGATAGAGAGGGATCATCATCATCATCATCATCATCATCATTATTATTATTTATATTATTATTTATTTATATTTAAGTCATTATTTTACATTTCACTGGGAGCACAAACACAACCTCCTCTTATCTCTAAAGTGTTAGAGGAATATTCCAGAGAGAATCCATCTGTGATCAAATGTGACTCTGGACTCAGAGACATGACTCTTGATTTAAATCAGTGAAATCAGTAAAATCATCTCGTCACCGGCAGGTTTTTATTATCTGCTTTAAATCAGGTTCATGAAACTTGTTGATCTGGATCTGTGAGGTTCCTCCAACAGGTGCCACCGGCTCATTGGTGGAAACGTTGATGCGTCCCCTTTAAGATTCAATTATTCAAAGGGAGGTTGTTGTTTTTTTTTAACAAAGAGGATTAGGGCCACATGGGAATTTTTTTTATTTTTTTAAGAATTCCGAGGAAAAAAAGTCAGAATTCTTTTTTGTTTTATCAAGAATGTTTTACTGAATAAAAACTGCATGATGAAGGACAGGAAACGTGTTCATTAGTAATCTCAGAATTCTGAGTTTAAAGTCAGAATTTAAAAAGATCTAATAAAAATGAACATGTGGCCCTCGTCCTCTTCCTAACATCCTAACAGCAGGATTCACACCGACACAGATTTACACTGATTTGTGTTCGTCTGTGAAACCAAAAGAAAACTCTCAGCTGTTCGTCTCGACAGTCTGACATTTCATTCATTTACACAGGAAGAAAAATGTGTTTAAATTTAGATAAAAAATACACATCAACTGGTTTTATTAGGAGAGTAAAATTAATGTTCATGAAAATAAACTCAGTTTGTAGATGATAAAGATTTAAACTGTATTTTCAGTCCTCTCTGATCTGAGCTCAGACAGTCTCTTTCTTTCTTTCTTTCTTTCTTTCTTTCTTTCTTTCTTTCTTTCTTTCTTTCTTTCTTTCTTTCTTCAAGGTTTAGACATCCTTGAGGGGAGCAGGTATGTGGATTAGACTCTGTGCTGACACAGTGTCAGCTGTTTGTGCCCTTGGAGAAGCTGAAGGAGGGAAAGTGGTGAAGGAGACGAAGGTAGAGCGTGATGATGGAGGATGGAGACAGTGGGGAGGTAAAGGACAGATCTGTGACTGCATCATCTAAAATATGTAAAATTCTTCAAGTTCTCAGGAGGAAATCTTGCACATCACACACCAGGGTTGGTTCTGCATCAGTGAGAGTCCAGCTCCTGGCAGACGACGCTGTGGGGAGGAAAAGCTCAGACGTCTTATCTGGGTGGATGTGAAACACCTCAACATCGGGTGACATCACTCGTCCTGGATGAGGCTTCAGGTGCTCTCCCTCTAACTCACACTCACACTGTCTCCTGGTCAGTCAGCTGATCAGTCCTCAGCCCAGTATGATGCTGTGTTCCCAGTAAACCCAGTGTTCCCAGTCTGCAGGACCCAGTGTCGTCCTCCACCTGCTCTTATCCTGTTTTCCACTTTTCCAGGCCTCAATGTCGTATCATCTGACTCTGTGTGTGTGTGTGTGTGTGTGTGTGTGTGTGTGTGTGTGTGTGTGTGTGTGTGTGTGTGTGTGTGTGTGTGTGTGTCCTTGCTGTTAAAGCCAGTCTTCCCAATGCTCAGTGCGCTGTATGGCTTTTTATTCCTATCTGACTGTACTGATGGTTCATATAGGGATGGAAGCCATGCACCGCGCTGGGAACGCAGCGCACTGGACCATGGACTCAAGCCCTGTCACCTTACACACATGCACACACGCACACACACTGCACACTCAGAGGGCAATAAATGCATGCACACATCCAGGAGAGCGTGAAGTGAAAACCTGTCAGACAGAAATATGGAAACACATGCTCTGCACACATAAACATGCAGTCATTTATGCGTATGCATGCAGCAGGTATATGCATATGCATGTTGCTTTACACACACACACACACACACACACACACACACACACACACACACACACACACTCAGGGCAGGGGTGGTGCCCTGGTCCCATCAGGCCTCGACTGCAGCGAGTCAGTCTGAAGCTGTTGGACTGTGTCAGCTGACAGACAGCTCTCTGAAGTGAAACACATACATCTGCCACAGAATCTCAACGTGATCAATACAGATCCAAACGCAACAGAATGAACATGAAACTGATCCCAAATGAAGCAAATGGATTCAGAGTGAAGAAGCAGGAGAGTCACAGACAGATCGCACAATAACAAGATGGAGATTTCATCCAGTCACGTCCTGTACTCACTTCGTTCTTTATTCAGGCTCCCAGTGGGATGAAGAGAGCATCCCAGCATGCACTGGGTGAAAGACAGTAAATCTCTGGAGACATGGCCGACACACACACACACGCACACGCACACACACACAGACGACTGTAAACACATTCACATCTGAAGCCAGTTCAGAGTCTGAATTCCTCCTGACACGTGAGAAAGATCTTGTTGTTGGTGACTCCAGTTACAAAAACACGATGTTCATAAGACCCTCAGAACAGAGTAGAGTCACATCAGTGAATGGTCACACACTGTAAACCCCCAACCCATCCATGACATGACAGTTTATTAAGTCTGCACAAATGGTCACGACTGTCAAAATGACATAAAACTTTATATTCGCTTGATTTGTTTAAGTTAAGTCAACGATTTTTAACTTTTCACTTTTGACTTAATTTTATTTAAACTTATAAAGTTGAGGCAGCTTAATTTGTTCTAATTTTATGTAATTAAAATACAAATTATTTTATCATTTGACTGGAGATTTTGTGTCAAACTGACAAAAATCTCCAGTCAAAAGTTACGACACATTAGTTTTAAACAACTAATAAACTTCCTGTTTATATAACATATAATCAAATGCTCAATAAACACAAATTATTTTGTGGTGTGATTAAAAAAGTCATGTTGAACTGACATAGATTTCCAGTCAGACAAAGGTCATGTGATTCATTTATTTTGTATTTAGTCACACATTCATAAAATGAAGAAAACACAACTACATTTTAAGAAAACTTAAGAAGTGGATATAAAGTCAACATGACTTTAAACTAATAGTTATATTTACTTATTTTTTCAAGCCAATCGGTTTCCTAGATTTTTTTTTAAGTCATATCAACTTGTCAGATTTTACAATAAATACAAAATAGGTGATTTTGTCAGATAGTTGTCTGCTGGTCTCCTGCTCTGTGCACACTAGTCTATTCTTCATCCTGAAGTGAAATCTTTACCTGAATTCATAAATTACTCTTTTTTCTTTTGTTTTTTCATTTCTTTTTGTCTGATTTTTGTTTTGTAACAGCAGCTCTGAGGTAAAGAGAAAAACTACATTCACAATACAAGACAAAGTGACAACATCCCTGATGATTTACACATTAGAAGACGACATCAATAATGAAGTCACTTGTTTTAGAAAGTTTATATTACACCTCACTCACCACCATTAGCATTCAGAGCACAGGCTGCCATACTGTCCATGGTGGAAGATTAACCTGAGACTTGCTTTAGTGATCGATCACATTGATTTAATTTTGTTGGATATATTAATATCAGCTTAATCAGCAGCTTGAAATGTGAACTGGTTTGAAATGTCAAAATAAAAGCTTTAGTTCAGATATTCTCTTGACATGGATTCAGGAATGAAAAACATATGAGATAAAATGAAACATGTACAAACTCTGGTGCAGTTTTTTGCATGGAGTTTTTCTACTGTTCATTTCACTGTGATAGTACAGAAGGCCGTTGCTGCCGGATGATTGTGTAGCCAAACCTCATGAATCTCATTATTAATGTGTCTCAGAAGAAACTCAAAGCTGACGTGATGACATTTTAGTATCAGGGGAAGAGCTGGAGACAGACTGGACAACAAACAAAAAGAAAAATAAATGATGGAAACTTTTTCCCTGTTTGACTGAATAAGTAAATGTGTATCTATGTTCCCTGTGCTTTTTTTATTTAGTTATTTTTTAAGGAATTTATCTTTTTACATTTCCTTTTCATTTCCAGTCCCTTTTTTGTTGTTTCACTTCTGTCATTTAAGTTCTTTTATGTGCTGTTGTATCACCTCAATTACTGCACCTTCCCTTGGATCAATGAAAAAATAATTACATAAATAAATGAATGAATAAATTAGTTAATTAATTCATATTATATATATATATATACTATATATGTATTATCATATAAATAAATTTTTTTTTAAAAGTAGTTACGCTTCAAATGCAGCACAACAGCGCCCCCTGGTGTAGGAACAGTGGTATTACAACGCTCCAAAACACTACAGCCGATATGCAAGTGCAACATTAGTGGCGGCGAAGAAGACGGAGCGGATGTGACGTCAGAGTCCGGCCTCCAAAACAACCGGAGCATAATTGTCTTGTTATGAAAGAGTGATATGTTGGATAACCGCCGTGTGGTTGATCTTACACAACAGCAGCGTGGACCCGGAGGAGCTGGAGAACTTCCGGTCGTCTGGTTTAGTCAGAAGACGTCTGAAGAAAATTGCTGAATGAGAAAAGACAGAGAGACAAACATGGCGAAGAGGAGAGCGGGAACGGAGACCGAGGCCGGTACAAAGAAACCGAGGCAGGTGCCGAAGACGAAGGGCAGCGCCGCTAAAGAGAGAGAGAAGAAGAAAGATGCAGGTAGGAAGAGTGAGTCTGAGCTGCCCCGTTATTTATGAACACACCTGAACTCTGTCTGCAGCCAAGAGAATAAAACTGAAGCTTAGCTAGCTAACAGCTGTTTATCTGTGAGGGAGAAACTGACTGTTTCTGTAAAGATGGTCAGTTTGTTCCAACAGTAAACACAGAGTCAGGCAGTTCAATGACGAAAGAAGCAAGAATTTCATTATATTTTTATTCTTTGTATCTGGTCGTACTGTTATAAATAAAATATGTAATATCAACTGTAATAAATTATTGTCCCAAAACATTAAGTGATTCAGCTGATGTTTAACTCTGTTGTCATGACAACAGATAAATCTTTTGGCACATGTTTCTGTTATTTGCTTCAAGTCAGAACAACAACAAAACTTTGAGAGAGGATAACATCCCATAAATGTGTCATGATGATGATGAATCCCAGCCCAGTGCTGGTGAGCAATGATTCAGTTTAACTTATCGTGACCTGAGTGTGTGATGTTCATCCTCTCAGCTGCTGTGAGAATAGCGGGGTCGTCAGTGGTTGAAGAAGCCCTAAATGTAAAAGGTGTTTGCTTCGTGTTTCTGTGTCTGGTTGAGAGAGACAGTATGTGAGCGGCTGCAGCTGCAGGATGAACGTCCTGGTTACTGGAGTGGAGCTGCTGCCCCACATTCACATCTGCGCTCCACTTCTTCAAAACCTGAAACATGTTTCTTGTGAAAAACAGATGTTTGTGTGATTCTGTTTTTAACACTGTGTCACACGTCATTCACGTCACATCTGTGTGTCTTTGTCCTGCTGAGCAGCAGTGTTACTGACACCAGGCTGAGTCTGTTGTAGGGCTGAATCATAGGCAAAAGAAGACGGGAAGATATCTGTTTATTTTGGCAGATATTGTGATAGGAGTCGTGATTTCAGTTGGAATTATAATCTCTGCTTTTCATTTTAACAGAAAACAAACAATGATTTGTACCAAACGTCCGTCTGGAGAATAACAACAACACACAACACGTCATTTATGATCTGTTGAGACACATTTTATCTCCATCAAAAAAACTGCAGCGTTGATTTGGATATTGCACTTGTCCATATAGCAACTTTGATAATATTTCGATTCATTTTTCAGCCCTAATTTGCTTTAAACAGATGGTACGGTGGTTGAGATGGTTACCTGTTTATTCTTCTCATCTTTCAAAGACAAATGATTCATAAACAGTGACAATAATTAACAGAAATCTTTCTGTTGGAGGACGACCACCCCCGCTGCACAGTTTCATTTTAAATCTTTTCCTGTGGCCCCTCCCCCAAAGACTGTGAGGTCACAGGTTTTTTGTTTATTTTGTTTGTTTTCATTTTAAATATGACTCTGTAAAAATCAGTGCAGAGGTCGACGAAGTCAAAATGGTCTGTGACAGTTCTTCTTCTTCTTCATCTCCTTTGTTCAGGGTTAGTGATTAGACACGCTTGCATTAATATGGCCAAGATTCATTGATGGTAAATATATCAGCTGTAAACATAATAACAATAATAAGCTTTACTTATACAGCACCTTTTAAAACACAGTTACAACGTGCTTTACAAGACAAGAGAAAATTCAGGACAAACAATAAAAATTAATGATAAAAAAACAGATTTAAAAACAGTTGAAAGGTTTTCCAACTTTGAGGATGAGATAGAGGAAAAAGAGATAAAACAATCTGAAGTCATTAATCCTTAAAATTAGATCCAGGAGGGTTACTTTATATAATGTATTTATTTATTTATTTATAGCATAAGCTAAGAAAAAGTGTGAAGAAGAAAACTGAAAACCAAACCAGTGAGTCTGCATCATCGCTCAGTCCCAGTCTGTGTGTTCATCCAGGTAACGGCATCACAGAGAAAGAGGACACGCTTGAGAGGAAGGTCAAAGCCAAGAAACGTCGGTCCCCAAAACCACCAGAGAGAAACAACTCTCCCTCCAAGACCAGCATCAAGACCAGCGCCAAGACCAGCGCCAAGACCAGCATCAAGACCAGCATCAAGACCAGCGCCAAGACCAGCACTGCTGCCAAAACCAGTAAATACTTCCAGTCACCAGTGAAGCAGCTGGAGATCGACAGTGAAGATGAGTTTGACATGGTGACATCACCACCACCTGTGGTTAAAGTGAACGCCAAGAAACCAGAGAGAGAAGAGAAGGAGGAGGAGGAGGAGGAGGAGGAGGAGATGGAGGAGGACAGTGAGGAAGACGAGGATGATTGGGAGGAAGTGGAAGGTAAAGATCAGTAAAAAAAAATCTGTTAGTCTGTTGAGTGTGTATTACATCTCCACTGTTTTGTGTGTGTGTGTGTGTGTGTGTGTGTGTGTGTGTGTGTGTGTGTGTGTGTGTGGATCAGAGCTGGCTGAGCCGCTGGGTCCAGTTGAACCTCCAGAACCCGTCCTCCCCTCGGAGCCCGTGGAGATCGAGATCGAGACTCCGGAGGTCAGACGGAAGTGAGTGACGTTTTCACACATTAGATTATTTTACAACAGTATTTATTTCTAAAAACCTAATTATTCATATTTACAAAATGAGTATTGTGATTAAAATATATCACACAACTGAAAACATATTTATAAAGACCATATAAATGTAATCATAAAATCCTCGTAACATATAAAGAGATTTATTTCATAATTGATGGCAATATGAAATTAGATTAATCTGTTATTGTACAAATTAATCAATATATGTATCTGAATAATACAAATAAATATTGACACATACCAAAGATCAACAGCTTTGACTTCCTCTGTTGACTCCTAAAATGAGTTTTAAAAGAGTTTTCACTGGCTTCATTCAACAGGAAATCATTTGTTTATGATCAATAAAACTCTGATCTTAAATCCAGACAGAATTAATAAATATTTTCAGTCTTGGATTACGGTGTTTGAAAGCTGCGTCTTCACATTGTGTTTTAAGGAACTGAACATGAACGTCAAATGAGTTTGTGTGACACTTTCTGTGAGTGTATTTTAATAAACTGAGTTCATTTTAGATTTTCATGGATATATTTGCAGATATTTATGTCTCTGTTTAACCGTCACTTCTGATTGGCCAGGCAGAAGAGAAAGGCGGAGTTTGAGACATACCTGAGGAGGATGATGAACAGACACAAGAAAGACCTGCTGATAGACACACACAAGGTGAAAACACACACCTGTACCTGTGTGTGTGTGTGTGTGTGTGTGTGTGTGTGTGTGTGTGTGTGTGTGTGTGTGTGTGTGTGTTGACTGCAGTAAACCTCAGGTGTGTCTCTCAGGTTCACCTCATGTGCCTCATCGCCAGCGGGATGTTTCGTAACCGTGTGTGCAGCGAACCCGACCTGCTGGCCATCACTCTGTCGCTGCTGCCCCCCCACTTCGGCCTGGTTGCTAAGGAACGCATCGACCACAACTACCTCTCTGGACTGCTCAGATGGTGAGAGCCTGACACGTGTGAATGTTAATTATGTTTTATTTAAATCATCCTCCTCATCTCATCAGTTAATTAGCTTTAAATCACAGCTGTCTTTTTTTTTTTTTTTGAACAAAAACATAAATAACCACAAACAAACAACGACATCACAATATCGATCAAGCTTCACCATCGAAAGAAGATTTTAAAGGATAGAATTAATAAATTAGAAACCGCTCGATACGATCACAACCAACCTTCTTCTTCCACATCAGCAGCTTTGAAAATAAATCTTTTCCCGAACAAAATAATCAGATGAATAATAAAAGTATAATTTCTGTGACGCCTTCACCTGATATCAGTGTTACACATCTTTTCAACTTCCCTCCAAAAGGTTGAAAAAAAAGTGATTGTTAATTTCGATTTATCTTGTTTCCTGTCGAACTGACGGCGTCGTCCTCCCACCGTTCTTCTTCGGCTTCCAGTCTTTTCCTGCAGCAGAGATCAGCTGATCGCATGAACAGATCCGTCCCTACAGTTCAATAACCTGCAGATGAGTCTTAAGTTTCACCACCAACTTCTTCTGTCCAGGTTCAGAGCAACGTTCACCCTCAACCCCAGTCTTCCCTGTGAGGAGCGTCCGGACCCCCGGGCTCTGCTGGAGAGGCGGCTGGCCAGCCTGTCAGCCAGGACCCACCAGGAGATGACTCATGTTGGTAGTTTGGGACCAGACTAATACACTGAATGAACTACAGGCCGTGAGTGAACGCAGAGGGAGGGGCTGACGATGTTCCTGTGTTGTGTCTCTGCAGCTCTTCCTGCTCGTCCTCAGGTCTCTGCAACTCTTCTGCCGATTGGTTCTTTCTCTGCAGCCGATCCCCTTCAAACCCCCGTCAGCCAAGGTACCGACAGTCTGCGACAGCTGTGTCCAATCAACACAGAGCTCTGTCTTTAACCCTTCCACCGCCGTCAGCTCTGAACGTCATCAGACGCTCAGACTGAACGTGCTGCTCTGTCGCCGACAGTGTTAGACTCTGGACTCATCTGATTGATTATTGATTAATCTGCCAATCAATTAATTATTTGATCTGTGAAATGTCACAAAAGAGTGAAAAAAAAAAAAAACAATCACAACTTTACAGGATGTAAACGACCAAGTCCAGAACACAGTGAAGGTGTTCAGTAGAGCTGCAGGTGATGCAGGAGCTGCAGGTGATGCAGGAGCGGCAGGTGATGCAGGAGCTGCAGGAGATGCAGGTGATGCAGGAGCAGCAAGTGATGCAGGGTCTGCAGGTGATGCAGGAGCTGCAGGAGATGCAGGAGATGCAGGAGCAGCAAGTGATGCAGGAGCTGCAGGTGATGCAGGAGCTGCAGGTGATGCAGGAGCAGCAAGTGATGCAGGAGCTGCAGGTGATGCAGGAGCTGCAGGTGATGCAGGTGATGCAGGAGCAGCAAGTGATGCAGGGTCTGCAGGTGATGCAGGAGCTGCAGGAGATGCAGGAGATGCAGGAGCAGCAAGTGATGCAGGAGCTGCAGGTGATGCAGGAGCTGCAGGTGATGCAGGAGACGCAAGTGATGCAGGAGCTGGAGGAGATGCAGGANGAGCTGCAGGAGATGCAGGTGATGCAGGAGCAGCAAGTGATGCAGGGTCTGCAGGTGATGCAGGAGCTGCAGGAGATGCAGGAGATGCAGGAGCAGCAAGTGATGCAGGAGATGCAGGGGATGCAGGAGCTGCAGGTGATGCAGGAGAAGCAAGAGCTGCAGGTGATGCAGGAGCTGCAGGTGATGCAGGAGCTGCAGGTGATGCAGGTGATGCAGGAGCAGCAGGTGATGCAGGTGATGCAGGAGCGGCAGGTGATGCAGGTGATGCAGGAGCTGCAGTGTTTCTGATGAAGGTCAAATGTGTCACAAACTAATCACAAGTAGAACATAGTTTAGCAGAACGCAGCCCGAGTGTTCAGTTTACTGTTGTGTCTTATATGACAGAGAGGAAGCAGCAAGTCTGACATTTGAGGAGCTGGAGCCAAGAGAGTGAAGCACTTCTTCTTCTTCTTCTTCTTCTTCTTCTTCTTCTTAAATCTTTGCTTGAAAAATTATGAAACAGTTAATCGACTATTAAAGTAGTTTTTCTGTCGATTAGCAAATCAATAAATCAATGAATTGTTTCAACCCTGTTAATATCAGGTTTATCAATTCCCCCTTGTAACTGAGATAACGTGCAGCATAGTCCTTTTTAACTTTCGACCAGATCTAGTTTTTGTAGTAAACTTTGTGGACTGAAGCCGACGGGAACGTTGTTCATCAGAGGATCTAAAGCTCATAAAAGATCATTTAAAAGAGCATAAATGAAATTACAAAATGTTTTGTACGTATGTCTGGTATCCCTTTAGCAGCTGGGAACATAGGAAACATATAATCCCTCTGATATTCTATAAACGAACTCATACTGCTGCTTTTACTTTTACTCACCAGGGCAAAGGGGCCACAACATCGACCGCTGTCCCAGGAAAGAGCCAAGAGACCCCCAAGACCCCCTCCCCCGAGCCGAAGGTCTCTCCTGGCTCCAAGAGACCGGCCGGAGCGAAGGGAGAGCGGGGCGGAAAGAGAGCAAAGAGGAAAGACATAAAGGAAGAGGAGGCGGAAGAGAAGGTTAAAACGTCAGGAGGACAGAGACCGAAGAACTCTAAACGCCGCAGTGTCGCCTCCAAGGTCAGCTACAGGGAGGAGAGCAACAGCGAGCAGGAGGAGTGGCTCAGCGACGAGGACGAGTTTCAGGCGAGTGAGGAAGAGAGTGAAGATTCAGAGAGGGAGGAGAAATCCACGAAGAAGAACAACAAGAAGACTGCAGCTCCAAAGAGAAGGAGTGGGGGAGGGACAAAACAGGTAAAAGCTGAGGGGGAGGAAGAGGAGGATGGTGATGAAGGAGAAGCAAAGCAAAAGAGCGGGAAGAAGAAGAAGAGGAGGGAGGGGCCTGGAGCGGACGAGTGGCTGGAGGTGTATCTGGAGAAAACGTCCTCCTGGGTTTGCGTGGATGTCGAGCACGGTGTCGGGATGCCTCACCTCTGCTCCCAGAATGCAACAGCACCGGTGACGTACGTGGTGTCAGTGGACGGGGACGGGTTTGTGAAGGACATGGGGAGGAAGTACGACCCCACCTGGATGACGTCGTCCAGGAAGAGGCGGGTGGACGACGACTGGTGGGAGGAAACACTCGAGCCGTTCCTGGGACCCGAGGATGAGCGGGACGTACAGGAAGACAAGGAGGTGAGACACACACACACACACACACACACACACACACACACACACACACACGCGCGAAGCCTCATTAAACGTGTTCTTATTAACGCTGAGTTTTTTATGTCTCCTCTCCAGCTGCAGAAGAAGCTCCTGAACAAACCTCTGCCCATCTCCATCACCGAGTACAAGAACCACCCGCTCTACGCCTTAAAGAGACACCTGCTGAAGTATGAGGCCATCTTCCCTCCAACAGCGTCTGTGTTGGGCTACTGCAGAGGAGAGCCGGTCTACTCCAGGTCAGTACCGCAGAGCAGGAGGCAGCTGTCGATGCCTGGTCGTTAAATCATCGTTTGGACGATGAATTAAAAAATGGAAAAGCTGATATTTCCAGTGAAGCCAGTTGCTGTGTCCCAGTCCAGGATCCGGATCCTTCTTAGTCCAACAAACACTGATGAGCTGATCGGTCTGTCCCTGTTTGTGAGAATCCCACAGTCTAGATTTCATGTGTTGTATTTTCACACACGTGCTTCATCTCTGGTGAATCTCTCGATCTTTGAAATATGAATATATTTAAATTTTTGCTTGTTGTCCATCGTGTTTTTGTTTTTTTACTTTTTATTTATTTATTTGTTTTTTAACATTTTTCATCTTATGAGAACAAGAGGCAACGAACAAACTAATAATTAACAGGAAAAAAAAACAAACGCATGAGGTCATGATCATCAGGAGGTCGAGGCGAATTTTCCTAATGTAAAACAAAATATTGCACGTGACATACAACACTTATGACAGATGTCTGATTAAACGTCGTAGAGACTCAGTCATCTGCTGTAGAAGATGCAGACGGGTCTCATATGTCCCACACAGAGGGATGTGAATGTTGTATTGATATTAAAACTCCGAGTTTTGTCCGTCATGTATTGAACTAAAACATCGACACTTGTTTTACAGCTTGTATCATAAACTTATTCACTTATTTTACCTCATAAGTTGAGTTGGACCTGGTTCAGTCTGGACCTGGTTCAGTCTGGACCTGGCTCAGTCTGGACCTGGCTCAGTCTGGACCGGGTCCTCTGAAGGAGACTCCTCAGCAGGACACTGATAATCTAGACCTGCATGTTGGAGTTGATAGTGGTTGTGAGCGTCAGTGTCCAGCAGGTGGTGCTGTGTGATTATTCAAACAGTGAACTGCTGGTTGTGAAGCACAGCTGCTGTTTCCTGTCTGTTGGACTCTGTTCATAATGAACTACAGTAAATACATCAGAAGACACTGGATGTGAATCTGATATTAGAAAATCACTGAAATGAAAAGGGATTAGTTGAATGTTTTCTCAGTGTGGTGTTTGAATGTTTCTCTGCAGAGACTGTGTTCACACCCTCCACTCCAGAGACACGTGGCTGAAAGAAGCTCGGACTGTCAGACTCGGAGAAGAGCCGTACAAAGTGAGAGAGGAGTTTTCTTCTTGTTTGTTCCTCTTCCAACAATTCTCTTCTTTCAGTTAGTTTCTGTCTTATTTCTCTTCCTCTTTAACTGCAGATCTTTACTGACTCGTGACTGCTGTAAACAAAAAAGAGGAACCACTTCAGGAACAGTTAACCTCAGAATGAAATCTTGGTCACAGCCCTCTTAATGAACTGTAATTCAACAGTCCACTGGTTTCCCTGTGACAGAGTTAACCACCATCAGAAATCCATCTTTCAACTTCCACCAGACACGTTTTAAACTGAACTTCAACTGCTCTGATTCATATTTAGTTACACATGTTTTCTCACATAAAAACTGGGTCTGAAGCTCATCCTTGAGCCTTGAGCCCCGCCCACCACCTGCTGGCTCCAGGTGGACAGGTGAGAGAGCAGAGAGCATCAAGATGGTGAGAGGAGGAAACATCAGAGAGACTCAGCCACATGTTTGAGCCTCAGTCAGACCCAGACTCAGAGGAGGAGTCTGAGACCAGAACCAGAGACTAGCAGACGGGTCAGAACCGTTAGCTAGTTAGCATCTTCTCAGAACGGTTAGCATAGTTAGCACTTTTCAGAGCAGTTAGCTAGTTAGCATCTTTTATTTGTTTTGTTGTTTGTTAGCTTGTAGCTGGCAGTGGCTGACACAGTGTTAGCGGTCGTGCTAATGGGTTGAAAAGAGCAGGTTGAACTTTGTGGTTTTCATTCAGTTTAAGAGGAAACCTGCTTCTTCTCCTGCAGAGGAGAAACAGACCAGATGTTTTAGACTCAGTTCAGCCTCACATTAAATAAAGTTTCATTTCTTTACATGTGTGGCTTTAAGCTCTTGTCATTGGCCTGATGAATGATTAATGAGACTGTGTGTTGATGTCAGTTATTAACATAATTTCCAGCTGAACTCAGAATGGGTTTTTTATTAAGGCAGTGACGTTTTGCTGAGAGCAGATGTATTGAATCTGTTGGGGAGTAATTATTCTATTAAATCTCAGTTTGTCTGTATTGGATCAATGAACTGACATTAGTGACAAGATGGCTGACAGCAGGAACTGTGACCGGGTGAGTCAGTGTTTTAATATTTCAGCCAGTGAGAGCTGCAGGAACACAAACACAGAGGATCATCTGTGTGTTTCCATCTTCACACTCGGACAGAGACATGATGTTGTGGTTTCAGTTGATTATCCAGACTGACGTGACGGAGTCAGTCCAGATTAGAAAGTGTTTGGTGGTTGTTTGAACTGAGTGGAGGAGATAACGCCAACAGAAGAAGAATCACGTCATTGTGTCTCTCTGTCAGATGGTGAGGGGTTTCTCTAATCGCTCCCGTAAAGCCAGGATGATGTCTGAGCAGAAGGACGAGAACGACCTGCCGCTGTTCGGAGAGTGGCAGACTGAAGAATACCAACCTCCTGTCGCTGTGGACGGGAAGGTAACTGCCAATCAGAACTGAGGAAAAAGAGTCATTAATAATAATAATATAATAATGATAATAGGAGTCACTGTAGCAGCAAATATTGTGAAGATAGCAAATAAACTAAATCAGAAATCAAATACAGAATATCAGATTTATCAGATTATAACCAAGGAGTTGTTTGGTATTTGTCTTTGATAAATGATCTAAACTAATAATCAGTTATCAGAACTGTCATTGATTGGTTGTCTGTGTAACAACAGTTTTTCAGTTGAAGTAACAGCTGACAGGTGACTGGTTGAGGAGACAGACAGCTCCGATGTCCAATCACTGACTTCTGTTTATTGTTTACAAGCTCTTCAGGATCTGAGGGATTAAAGCCACGACTCAGTCTCAAAGAAAAACCATCATCAAAGGAAATAACTGTACAACTGTAAATAAATCAATCATATGGCCAACGGTCTGATTCTAATCAGGATCAAACATTTCTATTATTAATTATATAAAGACTCAACTGATAAAGATGAATTAGTACACACAGAAAATCATCCTGTAAATCTGTATAGCTACTTTCTCTCTCAGGTTGGATTGACATTAGTATATGAATATTTACAGATCTCCATTTAACACTCACACACAGTGTAAAATAACATTATAAAATATAAAAATCACACAAATATGTTACAAACATTTTACAACAAATAATTTTTAATGTAACATGTTAGAGACACTTTAAATCTGTCCGTTAATTAATTGACTGACCTCGTTAGTGTAGTCCAGCGTTGTTGACCTGTCTCTCTATCCGTCCCTTCAGGTTCCCCGTAACGACTACGGTAACGTGTACCTGTTTAAGCCCTGTATGTTACCGGTGGGCTGTGTTCACCTCAGGCTGCCCAACCTGCACCGTGTGGCCCGGAAGCTGGACCTGGACGCCGCCCCCGCCGTCACCGGCTTCGACTTCCACGGAGGATACTCGCACGCTGTGTAAGATGTCACCGAGGAACCTCCGACCAGTTAAACACACTGAAGTGTCAGAATGTGATCAGTATGAGAGCAGGTCGTCTTAGTCCTGAGACTCACAGACAAACGGACAAACAGACACACTGACACACTGACAGACAGACACACTGACAGACAGACAGACACACTGACAGACAGACAGACAGACAGGCAAACAGACACACTGACACACGGACACACTGACAGTCAGACAGACTGACAGACTGACACACTGACAGACAGAAACACAGACAGACAGACAGACACACTGACAAACAGAAACACAGACAGACAGACAGACAGACAGACAGACAGACAGACAGGCAAACAGACACACTGACAAACAAACACACTGACAGTCAGACAGACAGACAGACAAACGGACAGACAGACACACTGACACACTGACAGACAGACAGACAGACAGACAGACAGACAGACAGACTGACACACTGACACACTGACAAACAGAAACACTTACAGTCAGACAGACAGACAGACAAACAGACACACGGACACACTGACAAACAGACAGACAGACAGACAGACAAAGACACACAGACACACTGACAGACAGACAGACACCTGTATCAACTGCATCTGATTTGTTTGTGTTTTTTAATGTCAGTGTTTTTAATATTTTCTTCCATCTGAGTTTTCCAACCACTGTGAGGACACACGTACATCATTATCTCCTCATCATAGTACATTATCATACACAGAGGTCATTCAATGTGCTGAACAGAAATAAAAGAAACACAACCATAGAAGTAAAAAGCACCATACGAAAACAATAGAAAACACAGATTATAAAACAGATAATATCTAATTATCTAATGTGTCTGAGTTGTTCTCAGCGAAGAACTTAATCTCATCATGTTACAGAAGCTGCTGACGGTAAAATCATCTGTCAGATAAACCAGAGTCTGAACTTTGTTAAAGCCGCTCTCGGGACATGAAGAGTTCCTGTACTACTGAAGACAGAAGGCGGAATGGAGTCATTGGAAAATGTAGGAAACGTGACGTTTGTATTTCCTGTGTTTCAGGACGGATGGTTACATCGTGTGTGAGGAGCACGAGGAGGTTCTCAGAGCGGCCTGGGTGGAAGAACAAGAGCTGCAGAAACAGAAGGAGAAGGAGGTGTGTGTGTGTGTGTGTGTGTGTGTGTGTGTGTGTGTGTGTGTGTGTGTGTGTTCCTCTGTGGGATTTATTTGAGCTCGTTTGAGGATTACAGATTAGAAACTCTTTCTCTGAACATATTTATCAAACTGCTGAAATTAAAAATTTGGACTCTTTGAAAGATGAAAGTAAAAATCCTTCACTTTGACTCCGACTCACAAACATAAGAATAAAAACTATTAATAAACTTCTTCTAAAAATTCTCTTAAATCTCAGAGAGCTACAGACGTTCTGTGTTTTTATCTCTATTTATTTATTCCATTGTTTGGTGTTTTATCTGTTCTCTGTAATTTCACTTTATTGTTCTGAATAGTTTTATCTGGATTTTCGGATGTGAAGCACTTGGTAACTTTGGGTTATACCTTTTTCTTTTTTTTCATTTTTCAAACAAACAACAAGAATCTGTCATTGCTTTTATTTACACTCACTGTTTAAGTATCTTCATTGTTGCTGCACTAAATTCTCTTTATTACATGACGTTTTATTTCATCCCGATTTATAAAGTTTCATACATTAAACCTTATGAATATATTAGATTAATGTTAATTATTCCTGGAGATTTAAAGATTTCACACACATGAATTTAAAAATATATACTGTAAATAGACACAGTATGTTCTTGCAGAATAACAGCACTGAATAAACTGTGCAGATGTCTGTATGTTATGTATGTTAATGTAGATGTGGGGTCAGTCTATATTTCTGAGTGTGTTTTCTTTCTCTGAGCAGATGTGTGATTAATCTAAAGGAGGAAGTCACTTGAAAAATGTGTCTCATTGTTCACACTCGTTAAAACGTTTTAAAAGCAAATCCAGTTCTTTAAAACCTTGAAAACCACGTCATCTCTTCTTTTCTTCCACTCTCCAGAAAAAGGAAAAGAGGGCGATCTCCAACTGGACTCTGCTGGTGAAAAGTCTCCTGATCGGAGAGAGACTGAAACAGCGCTACGGTAAGAAGAACCAGGGGCTGGGGGGCCTCGCTCACGGAGACGATGTCGGGGGTCTTTCATCCGACGAGGAGGCGGCGGGTGAGGGTGGAGGCCCCGGAGCTATGACCGCATCTGAGACTCTGGCCATGTCCTGGCCCCAGAACAGACAAGCTGAGGAGGACGGAGGGAGCGGCAGCGGCCTGAAGAAGAAGACGACCACGAAACGAGAGAAGAGAGGACAAGAGGAACATCTGTTCCCCTTCGAAAAAGTGTGAAGTCAGAGATCAGACACTAAACTCTCATAGAGCTGTGAGACGTTCATCACACTCTGCTGTCAGAAAACACTTGATTTACTGCTGCTGAGATCAACTCCTTCCAGACCTGAGAAGCACCGCGGAGCGTTTCCTTCATTTCATCTTTTAATAGGCCTTAAAAATAGGAATTGTAAAAAAGAAGTTATAAATAAATCGATTGTCCATTAATTAATACTTCAGATTTCAAAATGGGTTTACATGAACGGCATTAAACTCATTGAAGAAACCATTTCCAAATACATTTATTAATTCATGAATGAGTAATAGAATTTGAAAAACTATTTGAAACCAGTTTATTTAATGAGCTTTATGCTGTTTTTGTAAATCATTTTGAAAGCTGCAGTATTTATTGATGGATTATTTGCTCATTTTTAAACTTTTTTACAATGACTATTTTTAATGCCTTTTAAAATATGAAACTAAGGAAATGTTTTATCACTTTTCCTGTGACGTGCCTGCTCCTCCGTAGAAAAGCAGGTGCAACAGATTTGAAAACATCTGGTCGACCATGAAACCTCTGGATGTAACACTAAGACGAGGAGGAGGATGACGAAGGCCAGAAGGTTTTGTAATGAACAGATTTTTAGACTCATCACTTTCTTCCAGTGCTGCAAATATATTCATGAAACCTGCACTACCAGTGAACACACTCCCATCAGGTCACCTGCTGTATGTAATAGACATCTACAGTACGTGTTCATGCACCTGTGACGGAAACATGGAGGGTCAGTGTCAAATCCAGCAGGTGAAAACAAACTCAACATGGATGTCAGAACAGGAAGTGGCCCTCAGTCCTGTGTGTGTTTAATACATAAAGGCTCAGTTCACACCTGTTCACACCTGGTACTAACATCTGTCTCAGGTGATCTGATCACCGGCGGTCAGCTCTAAGTTCAGGTGAAGCTTCCACCCGAGGCGCCTTGAGGACACAGCTGAGATCCGATGAGTCAGACCACATTCAGAGTTCGTCTCGACCGTGAGACCATATTCTTTTAGCAGTGTGAACGTGAATGTGCCTAAGGTCACACTGAAGGACCGCCTCCTCCACTGACGTCCTCTGCCTCAGTCTGATTAGTCCAACACACGTTCTTATAATCAACCCAAAATATTTTACTGTTTTAAATGGATAAAACTTTATTTCATTGAAGCTGTGCCTGGCGTGATGATTCGCTCAACCCCTCAGCACCCTACTCTCTCTCTCTCTCTCTGTCTCTCTCTCTCTGTCTCTGTCTCTCTGTCTGTCTCTGTCTCTCTCTCTCTCACTCTCTCTGTCTGTCTCTCTGTCTCTCTCTGTCTCTCTCTCTCTCTCTCTCTCTCTCTCTCTCTCTCTCACAGACAAGCACACTGACAACAGAGCCGTCTGTCTGTCTGTGATTGGCCAGAAACATCTACACATACCTGTTTAGTGAGATCAATCACCAGTGTTCACTGAGACGCTGAACACTGGTGATCGGATCACCTGAGACCGATGTTAATACCAGGTGTGAGCAGATGTGAACAGATGTGAACAGGGACACAGACACACTGCTGGTCATTTTACCCACAAGTCTTTGATACACTCAGTTTTCCATGGTTGTGCTCCGGTGCAGTTCAGAACATATGAACATCTTATGTCGGCTTGTGTGGAAAATAAACTAAAGTGTGTGTGTGTGACAACAGCACCTCCAACATTAGACTGAGGAACACACATCTCCCTCTCACTGTAGTGGCTGCATCGGAACCACACCAACACTTAAAGCTGAGCTCTCGCCACAGGTTCCTCCAGCACCAGCTCAGCCCTTCTTACTGACCTGTTCATGTTTTAGCCTCAACCACTTTGCACTTTTGAGTTGATGTAGCAGACTTTGGGGATTTCCCCCTGATACTTCACTTCCCTTTTTCCTCTCCTTCGTTGTTCGGCTGCCGTATCCTCGGAGCTTCACTTGTTTCTGATGTTTTCTCACATCGTCTGTGTACACGTGTTCGTACACAGCAGCTGATGGATGTTTAAAGGAGGAAGCTGCTGTTTTCGTATGAAAAGTATTTTTGTAAGAAATGTTTAAATACAAGTTAAAATGCAAAACACCCAAATTAATGTTTTAGTCTTTTTTTCTGACATTTATAAAAGCATAAAAATATCTCAACATTATCAGGTTAGTATAAAAAACTGTTCTATTCTGTCTGTTGTTACTCAAATGATCATGATGCATCCTTTTTCAAATCATCAATAGTCACAGCTTCAGTAAATGAACAAACAAAACCTTCAGCAGCAATCCCTCTATCTTTGTTTCACGTTTCCTTCATCATTCGACCCTGAGGGGATTGGACTGCTGCTGATCTGAGGGGCGTCCACACGGAGGTGATGCAGGATTCAGGGACACAAACAGGAGTAGAGACAACACTGGTGACAGCTTAAATACTTGTTAAGAAAGTTGTGCGAGAATTTTTTTAAGTGTAAATTCATAATCAATAATCTGAGTGTAGTTTTTCATCTCGAACTACAGTCAATGATATTCTGTGCATTAAGAGCAACATCAGCTACATTAGATGATGCATCCTCCTCCTCAGCAACTCCAGACCAATTACCAGTGCATTAGCGCCGGGGGCTCGACCCACTGCTTCTCCAGCAGGGAGTCATGCATTGTTTATAAAGACATCGGTCCTTTACCTTCAGACCTAAAGCACTTTGAGTCCTGCGTTTAGCTGTAGAGCCACAGCCCCTGCAGTCACAGTCCAGTCAGTTACACCTGGAGGAAGGAGAGGGACAACTGATGATTTAGAGCTGCAGATTCATGATATGGTGATGTGTTAAAAATGTCTCCTACAGGTAAGGAAAGGTCTCGACTCATAAAGCGACACCATAGTGCTTAATTAAGAACAACTAATGTCCAACAGGGTTACAATGATGTCTGTTCTGTCTAGTCTATTCTACTGTTAGACAAACAAACAGCAGCTGCCACTGTCACCTGTTTGATTGGTTGATGTAATATTCCTAAAAATTATATTTTTTTTCTCTTGAAATTTTACATTTTTAATTCTCGACTTTATTCTTGAAATATTACAGCTTTTCCCTCAAGATGTTATGTTTCTTTTTCTCGTAAAATTATGACTTTATTCGCCTAATTTCAGATTTCTTTTTTTCCTCCGTGTGGCCCTAATACCCCGCCGTACAAGATAAATCCCGGCTGTCGCTAAGTAATATTCATGTCCATGTCCCAGTGCAGATTTCTGTTTGTAACTAGCAAAATGACGTTGCTCCATCTTGTTATACTGCTGAAGTATTGATGGGCAGCACTAATGCATGAGGTGAAGCTGCTGCATACTACCTAGGAGAGGAGGGAGGAGAGGAGGGGAGAGAGGAGGCTGGCAGGAGAAACGCGGATGTGGCGTCACTGATAAGTAGCTCTGTAACGGTCTGTCTTCCGCCAACCATCCAGCCGAACACAGTGCAAATCGCTCTTTGGATTTCCCCACACAAAAACCACTCCTGGCTGTCACCGCGGGCCCAGCCGAGGCTGCTCCCACAGGTAAACACCGCCGACTGTAACCGGGGGAAATGAACACAGCGGTCGTTTAAATGTGTCTGTTTACTCCCGAGCTCCGCAGGGCCTTGTTTACATCTCAATCCCCGGACTAGAGTGGCTGAGAGGCAGAGAGGCTCAGCGGGAGGGAGCGATAAAGGGGGTGGCTATCCTAGCTAGCTATTATGTCGTGAATTCTTGTTGGAGGATAAAATTAACTTTTTCTTGAAAACTTTTGTGAGTCTATTCTGCAGTGTAACCCGCCAAACTCATTGATTTTGACATGTCGTTACTTCGCTGCTGAATATAACTGCCAGCACGCTAGCCAGGAAGCTAATCTGGCTAACGGTAAATTAGCCTGTTAGCCGGTCTTTGGGTTTGACTTCACTGCCGTTTTCAGCTTCGGCCCCGTAGTCGGTTCAAAATGCCGATGTCCAGCTACAACCAAGCCGGTCTGTGCTTTGCTTAATCCCGTCCCGAGCACCTTACTATCCCCCCTCCCCCCAAGACTCGATATCAAACCTGTGCTGAGTCGCTGTGATATATTAGCCTAGCAAGATGTGTGTCACCCAGTTTGCTGCCTATTTTTAGCCTGGACCAGGCGGAATGTGAGCATTCGTCTGTCGCTGGGCTGGCACCGGCACCTGCACCGGGGCCGGGGCCGGCTGGCTCGCTCTCCCGGCTAACCTTGTTTTCCATCCAGGTGGATATTTGCTAAGTCACATTTGAACCTCGGTGCCAGAAAACGGCTGAGACTGAGGTGTGTGTGGATCACAGCGGTTACAGATGACATGTCGAAATAAGTCAACAAGGCCCTTAAAGTTTGTGTAGGTTGACAGTAACTAAGTACATTTACTTGAGTACTGTACTTAAGTATATTTTTCAAATATCCGTTCTTTACTTTTATTTCTTTTGGAAACATCTGACTTTTACTCCACTACACTTAAAAGTCAAATATTGTATGAAGTACTCTTACTTTGAAGTAGAGCTTTTAATCAGAGGATTTTATTTTATTTTATTTTGAAAAGGTGATAGACCATACGCTGTTGATCACAGGAGAAAATCCAATCACAGCCCACTCCTCCACTGTCAGCCATGTTTGACCCTGTCAGTGTCCTGACGGTGGAGATTCCGATCTGAAGTCTGTGTTTGAAGGTTTACAAATGAAGAAAGATTTATCTAGTTTGAAATGTTTGCTGAGTTTACCACGACCAGACTCACTGACTAAAAGAACAAGAAAAACTAAAACATCGTCAGTCAGTCAGTTTTTTCAGTCATTCAATTCTGTAAATGTGGAACAAAACAACAATGTGTTGACATAAAAAATGTGCTCTTGAATACTTCAGTATTTTTAAAATCAAGTAGTCAAGCACTTTTTAAGTCAAGTAAAAAATCTGACTGAACAAATTTCACTTGTATTGGAGGAATATTTGACCAGGAGGATCTAAACCCTGACTCAAGTCATGAAGCTGTGTGCTACTTCCCGTTCAAAGTTAGGAGATTTCTTAATCCTTGCAACGTGTACGGGAGACAAGACAAACTACTCATCCTCAAACACCACAATGTGAACATGGATAAAACTCAGAGAGCGAGGGGAACCCCACTCTGACAAGGACTTTTAATTTGTCATGACATCGGTGCTGCACAGCAATGCTAGGAAACCTAATTTACAGAATGAATCTACTACTTGGAAAGGAATGTAATTGCTTTGCCAAGTGTATGAGTGATATTACGGGAAAACATGACAATAAATATCACATAATATGTTCTAGTCATGGGAATATCCCCAGTCCAGTTGTGTGGTTGGAGTTCAGTATTGTTGTCATTCTAAACTGACAGTCTCAATTTTGGAAATCATCCTACAGGACATTTTTCTGAGTAGTTTATAAACAAATATCTAAATAATCTAAATATTCTAAATAATCTTTAGTTGTAAAGCACCTTTCATAGTAGAAATGGAGCACAAAGTGCTTACAACATGAGCAACAACAATTGTGGATAAAAAATATCCTTTGCTGCTGTTTATATTCTGACTCTGTCGCTGTTGTGTATTTGCACTTTTGGGTTGACCCCCAGCTGAGACGGGCTGCTTACTGCCTGGTTTGCCAACAAGTTAACTACAGTTATGGTTTGTGTGACTCCCTCATCCCCAAAGCTAAAGCATCTTCAGCTAATCCTGTAAACGGTGACATTAAGCCTTAACCCATGTCTTGTGTCCTGCACGTGTTTAACAGATCAACAATACTGTAGGAGAGAAAGATACAGTCTACTGTATATGAGCAAGTGCTGGTTTAAAATCCTGTCTTTGTGAAGTTTAATCCAAAGCTAGAGCAGAAGTTGAGACGCAGAAAGACACACAAGCAGAGAGAGAAGTGGATTCTTAGGAAGGAAATAAGGAGGAGGATGTTAATTGTTCATAGCGTAGGACAGCAGCAGGTCACATGGTTAGTAGAGTAGATAGTCGTCCTCTAGTCTGCAGAGAAAAGGAACATTTTGTCACCAGGTCAAAGTATTTAAATAAACCAAATCCAGGAGCTGCTTTCTCTGCTAACAGTCTATTCCAGCTTGTTTTATGGAAGAGGCCTGATTCTGTAATGAAAGGTCAACTGCTGCGTGGAGAGGCTGGACGAAACAGTCAGCCAGAGGTTTCTCAGCAACTGCCTGGAGGCTCAACAGCCCTGCTGCGGTGTTTGGGAACTATATTATCAAAGACATTATGTTTAAGAAGAGGATACACAAACAGATGATGTGTAACACTGGCAGCAGCCAGTTAAAAATCAACACTGTTGGGAGCCATTTCTTAGTAGGTTTAACACTGAGAAAGTAAAGACTCATTTCTGATGAACAATTAAAAACGCTGTCAAAAGTAAAACACACGATGGGTGTTATTTCCCTCATAGTGTAAAACTTGATGAACACTTCTCAGTCTAGTGTAAAATATTAACTATTAGAAGAGTTGAATTCACTCTGAAAATTCAACACTGTTCAGTGTAAATTTCACTCTCTGTAGATTAGGACCATATGTTCACTGACTTAGTGTTAAAATGGACTTTAAGTGTTCCATTAACACATTTTAGAGGTTGGGACAGAATGTGTGTGATGTTTTAGTTTATTACAAAATTATAACAGAATCTTTATTCTGCCGCTCTGAGCGGCTTCAGTCAGAGAGTTAGCATTTTTACCCACAGGGACAAACCAATATTAAAACTCACTACGACCTTCCAGTCAAAGTGTTTTTAATAACACATCTCCCAGATGTGTTCAGTGAGACACTGTCTGTCGTATTGTAAGCCAGTCAACATTATTAGAAATGGCCTTCTGATAGACTAATAATTAAGGCTACACAATATGCAAAAAAAATTACATCAGTTTCAGTTGGAATGATCATTTAGATTTTTTCAGTGAAAATACAAAAATGTTAATGATGTTATTGTTGTGCAAACAACTCCAACAATGTGACGGTTTACCTTCATCAAGAAACTGCAGCTCCTGTGATTTGGATATTGCACTTAGACGTGTTGAGATTTGGATTATATTTCCATTAATGCAGCTCCACTAATAATGTAAGATATTAAGAAAACACAGTGCTGCTCTGGACTGTCCATCTGTCTGTTTAAACCCCCATTGTTCAAAATAATCAGTAAGGAAACAGACTTAAATGATATTATTTTGGTATTAGTTTGTAGTTTGTCCTGTAAGAAACGCCACTCTTACTTGTTTCGATGTTCTGTGTCTGACCGCTCAGACACGGCTGCTCTGTGCTGATGTACAGATGTCTGAGCTTCCTGTCAGTGACTCTGTGACCGTGTCTTTCCTCTGAGGAACATTTGTATCCGTTGATTATTTGGAGGATCCCTCCACTAATACACAACCTTTGAGAAGTTGATATAAATTTGCTCTCGGTAGGATTCAGGAACATCAGCTGAGAACAGTGAGGATTGATTGTGTTGTTCATGTCACTGAATCACTGCAGCCCTACAGAGAATACCACGATACCGAGAGCTGTCAGAACAAGGTCGATGTTTGGCAGCTGTTTCATTTTTCAACTTTTCTGAACTTGATACCTTTTAGCTTTTATCTTTCCTGATAAGGTTTTTATTGATTTATTGTGTGTGTAGCCAGTTGTGCTGCTGCTGTCTCGGTCAAGTCCCTGTTATGAATCAGAATCACCTTCCTCGGCCAAGTGTGTTTACGTGTTGAAGGAATTTCAGACCAGCTGAAGTCTAATATTCAGATAGAGCCAACACAAACATAAGACTTAATGTGCTGAATGTGAACGACGGCTTCACTTCAACACGAACCAACTGGAGTTAAATTAAAGTCAAACAATGAAAATACATTGAGCCTTTAAAACGTAGCTTGTATGACATCTGTGGTAATGGTTTGAGAGAGTGCAACAGTCCCATCACACACACTCTCTAGTTTAACAATTGAATGTAATTTCAATAAAACTGAATCATCAGCTCTTACTGACGTGTCTTTCCCTCTCACTCCATTTCTTTTTCACCTGCTTGTTCTCCCTCCCCCTTCTCTCTCTCCTCCGTCTCTCCAGTCTTTTCTCTCCCTCCTCAGATCGCCCTTTAACCAGCTTCCAAATGACTGACGGGGAGTGTGACTTCTTCTGCTTCTTCCGCTGCTGCTGAGCGCGCTCCGTACGCGCCTCAGACAGACCAGAGGGCGGGGTGTCTCTGAGGAGTGACACTAGCAGGTGGAAAAGGAGGCGCGGGGAAAAGCGGGGAGGCGCGGCTTTAAAAGAGCCATTTCAGCCAATCGGACCACTAGGATCCGACAGGTAGGCGGGCCGTCTACCTGTGCGGGTGATTGATTCAGTCGACTGGATGTCTGTGGACATGAACAGCCAGGCGTCGGACAGCAACGAGGAAGACTTCGGGGTGAACTCTGAAGAAGAGGAGGATGAGGACGATGGCGGAGAGGAGGAGGACCAGGGCGACATCGCAAGCTACTATGAGGGCGTGGCCAGCGACGTGGAGCAACAGGGCGCCGACTCCTTTGACCCGGAGGAGTACCAGTTCACCTGCCTGACCTACAAAGAGAGTCAAAGGGTGCTGACGGAGGAGGTGAACACTGTGGCTGCTGCGCTGAAGGTGAGAGCTAAAGAAAATCAGTCCACACAGGCTGCTGGCTGCGTGCTGCACAAAACACCTAGTGATACGACTGATGTAAAGTTTAAGGAAGAAAACAGTGGAACAGGAAGAGTCTGGTTCTCTGCTCAGTCTCAGCAGGTTAACCCGTGATCCGTCTCCTCTACTCTCAGATGAAGACACTCTTTAGTTGTTTTCAGCGACATATTGAAACAGATTGATTTAAGCAGGTTTCATTATCGCTGATGAAACTTTCAGGAGGGACTCCCTCGAAGTCCTGGAGGTCAAGGTAGAGATGGAGAGGAGGGGATGTAGGGAGGGACAGAGGAAGTGAAACAGCAGGAAATATCAGACACTCACTCACCTGTAGAGGAATAAAAGCAGCATGAGAGGCAGCAGATCTTCTGCCACAGCTTTATTTGAGTAAGAGATCACAGAAAACACTGAAGGTGGATTCCTAAGATTTCTGCTATTTTTGTACCTAGAGCTGCACAATATGCAAAAGCATCACATTGTGATTATTTTGGCAGATTTTGTGATGAGTCATGATCTCAGTAGGAATTCTCTTTTGGCATTTTCACTGAAAACAATATAAAAAAGATGATGATGTGATTTCTGTTCCTGTACGTCTGGAGAATATGATCTGTAGGTCGAAGCGTCTCTGTGGCACCACAACACTGATGGTGCTAACACTGATGGTGCTAACAATGCTCAACAACGTGGCACATTTTAGCTTCATCAGAGAAACTGCAGCTGCTGTGAGATGTTCTTTACTGTGTATGAAAGATCAAAACAAGTCGCATTAGTCTGGATGTTGTCTGAGACGTCTGAGTCATTTCTGAGGCTGTAGGACAAAATATCTGGTTCAGTGTCTTTGCTGTGAGAGTCTACAATTAAACATGTATCCCACATTAATAAGTCTCAGTCATTAAGTGAGTTTGCAAAGTAACATAAGGCGTTGTCGTAGTCGCTTCCTGTTTCAGAATTCTCTTTGAGCTTCATCACGTCGTTATTTCAGTGAATGTTTCTTCTGTCCTGTGTTCATACAGAACTAAGAAAAGTTTTAGGTACTAAAAGTAAAGTGAGGATTGTTAATGAACTTCATACAGAGCTCAGTAAACTCAGATCAGTGTTTAGTGTGACCGGCCTTCACCAGTTCTTCCAGACACACTTGGATATATACTTGGATCTCGGCTGTCTCCCTGTCTCCCGTCTCTTCATGTGATCCCAGACTGGCTCCGTGATGTTGAGATCAGGACTCTGGGGGCCACACCATCTGTTGCAGGACTCCATGTTCTTGTGACGGAGGACGGGTCTTTATGATGTGGCTGTGTGTTTGAGCTGGTTGTGGTGCTGCAGACTGAGTTTGGGACCGATCAGATGACTCCCTGGTGATATTGCATGATAGATAAAAAGTGCTTAAAACCTTTGCTCAGTGCTGTACAGGCTCAGATCTGCCTGACATGATGGCGACATGGACTATTGATCATATGTTTGCTGTTGTTGAGCTCGCCAAAATAAATTCCCATCAGCCTTCAGGTTGATATGAATTATTGAATCTTGAAAGGCAGGTAAACCTGCTAATAAAAGCTGATTTACCTCTTTTCCACAGTCAGTCCAGTTTGTCGTTCTGTTCAGACTGAGAACACACACACCTGCAGGGAGTGATGTCATCACATGCACTTACAGAGCACACACACACACACACTCGTCTCAGAAGTGTCGGAGTCTCCGTGTGAGACGCTTCGATCAGTGATTGTTTTTAAAACTTATCTCAGGGCTGCAGCTTCACTCTCAGAGGAAGGTGTTTCTGTTCTAACAGCACCTGGACAGGTGACAGGTGTGTTTACAGTGTCTGTCTCTGAAAGACGTCACAGCAGGAAAGGGGATGACAATTTGCGAGTTAACCAGGTGTTGTGTTAACATCACTGCTGATCAGAGCCAGAGCTGATTAATACCTGCGTATACTGCAGAGTCATGTGACCCAGGTGTGATTAATCCCTTTTCCATTGCAGACAGAAGCCGGATGTTGGAGGCTCTTAGTGGGTTTTTAACCAGGAGAAAAAGGAGCTTTATTTTGACATTCTGTTGTTCTGAGCTCACGTATTAATATCTTTCCATTCTTGCGCTGCAGCTGAAGGAGGCAGCAGGTTATAACATGAGGTTATATCGTCATGAATGTGACCTTTAATGCTTCAAAATTACTCTGTTTATTTGGGCTAACTGCTGAGTGTGAAGCTGTCGTACACCAACAGCTTCACACTCACACAGAATCACCTGGGAGCTGCTCAGTTTCCTCAGAGGAACAGGTGTGTGTTTGTTGACGTCAGCAGGTGAAAGAAGGAGGAACCTCGATGTGTGGCCTGTAGTGTGAGGCGTGACACTCTGAGTTATCGTCCTGCCTCCTAATATTCTCTGTACAGTATCGGCTGAGAGAATTCATCAGTTATCACTGATAATTCATCAAAACATAAGAGTGTTGTTTCACAGCCGTACGGAACGTAAACATATCAAAACAAAACAGCAGACGAATAAACAACAAAAACAAAATAGCCGTGGTAACAAGTATCCACTATGAAGGAAAGGCCTGGCAAAAACGTCTTCCCTCACTCTGAACAACAGATCTCTTATCATTTTATAACCATTGTTCTAATAAATATATTTTCTCATTATAGATGAATCTACCTATTATTTATTTTTTCATTTGTGTGATAATGTCCAGAGTGATGTCTTAGTTTGTCTTCTGTGTGATCAATAACCAAAGTGAGACTCAGTTTACAGCTGTAGGAAACAGAAGGAGCAAGTGAGAGGTTTCATTTTACTCATATATTTTCTTGTTGTGAAATAATTGATCAAATACTTGTTTCAGTTCTTCTGAGTTTTCCCACAGTTTTGCTTTTATTATTTGTTCAGGAGCCAAAACAGAAGCAAGAAAACATTTCTGTTTCTGTTTCTGTTTCCAGCAGAATCAGATTCTTTCCTGCTCATCAGGAGTAAAATCAGCTTTTTATCCATCACAGTAAAAACAGGCGAAGTGGAGACACTTCAACAGTCAAGTCACTTTCCTGTTACTGAAGCAGCTTCTCTCTCTCTGTCTCTCTCTCTGTCTCTCTCTCTCTCTCTCTCTCTCTCTCTCTCTCTCTCTCTCTCTCTCTCTCTCTCTCTCTCTCTCTCTCTCTCTCTCTCTCTCTCTCTCTCTCTCTCTCTCTCTCTCTCTCTCTCTCTCTCTCTCTCTCTCTCTCTCTCTCTCTCTCTCTCTCTCTCTCTCTCTCTCTCTCTCTCTCTCTCTCTCTCTCTCTCTCTCTCTCTCTCTCTCTCTCTCTCTCTCTCTCTCTCTCTCTCTCTCTCTCTCTCTCTCTCTCTCTCTCTCTCTCTCTCTCTCTCTCTCTCTCTCTCTCTCTCTCTGTCTCTGTCTCTGTCTCTCTCTCTGTCTCTCTCTCTGTCTCTGTCTCTCTGTCTCTCTCTCTGTCTCTCTCTCTCTGTCTCTCTCTCTGTCTCTCTCTCTCTCTGTCTCTCTCTCTCTCTCTCGCTCTCTCTGTCTCTCTCTCTCTGTCTCTCTCTCTGTCTCTCTCTCTCTCTCTCAGGTTTTACCAGCAGTAGCAAAACTGATCCTGGTGCATTTTCACTGGCAGGTTTCACAAATACTGGACAGGTATGTCTCCTCCTCTCCTCCTTCTCTATTCTTGTCTTTTTTTAATTTTCATTCTTGTCGTCTTTTCTCTTTCATCACTCCTTCTCTGTTTCTTTAATTCATCCTCCCTTTCTACCCTTTCCTCGTGGTTCTCTAGTCTCTCTCCTCACTCTCTTTACCGTGGTGTCTTATTTATTCTGTCTGTTATTGTTTGGTTTTTTCATTCTTCTGCAGCTTTCACCTTTTCTGTCTCTCACCCTGGTTCTGTCCATGTTCCCCTCAGATATAAGTCCAACTCGTCTCTGCTGTTGTCAGACGCTCTGGTCCAGCCCAGCAGCACCTGCAGAACAGTCACTGTGAGTAACAGACCACAAGCTTTCAAGGAAGGTTAACTTTAATTAAGGTTTACTTGGCGAAGATACTCTTTATATGCTTTTGTTCTTACCTTTAATCAATATTTTTATATCGCTCATATATCTTCTGGACAAAGATTTATACACTGTATCAAGCCTTAATGCAGCAGATAATTCACCAGTCAAGGAAAATACTAGTTGATTACTTGATTGACATAAATTAATAATTGATCAGCCAAGTCATTTATTAGAATCATATCTCAAACACTTTCTTATTAAAGCTCCTCAGATGTGAGGATTTGCTGCTGCTCAGTTTCTCATCACCTTCAGGTGTGTTCAGGTGCTTGCAGACAGAATAGGAAATGGTAACTTTTAAGACATCAATGGTCAGGTGAGATGATAAATTGGCATCATCGTTTAGGTTTTATACACTAATTAATCAGTTGGTTAATTGAAGAAAAAAAATTTGATTAATCAATAGAGAGAATAATCAATTGTAATTGTAATTTCTACTCACACACAATTTAATTCAACAGGCTTCACTGACCTTATTTCTAATGTGTTGTCAAAGCACAATTACAATCATTCAATGGAATTAGATTATCAAAGAAAAAAAATTGTCAATATCAATATCAATATAATAAAATACATTGTGATTATTAATAAAATGTATAGAATAAATTTACAATGAAATAAAGGAAAGATGAAAAAAGCAATAAAATTGTTTACATACCCACATATACATGCAAATATTTGCATAAATAAACATAATTAATTATAATTCATTTTAATGAATAATGTTATTATAGTTAATTGCTTACAGTGAAATTCCGCTTTATTTAAATTTATTTTATTTAAAAAGAAGTTTGTTTTATTGAAAAGTATCTGAGCTACAGACAGAAAGACATTTACCTTTGATTTGACTGGAATGTTCCATTTTACCTGTGACATAGTTTAAGTGTGTGTGTGTGTGTGTGTGTGTGTGTGTGTGTGTGTGTGTGTGTGTTTCAGGCCCCTCAGTCCCTCCAGTGTGGTGTGTGTCTACAAGTCGTACGGAGAGACTCCCTGCTGGCTCTGCCCTGTCAGCACTCCTTCTGCAAAGCATGCTGGGAGCAGCACTGCACTGTACTGGTGAAAGATGGCATGGGAGTAGGTGAGTAGAGAGAGAGAGTGTGTGTGTGCATCTGTGTGGTCATCAAAGCTGGTATTACAGTGGGTGAGTCACACTCTGATTGAGCTCCCAGGTGTGTGTGTGTGTCCACTCAGTTTCATCACAGTTTTTGGCTACATCCACATGACTACATTTTCATTTTCCACTAACACACCTGAAAACACACATCACATGACCATCACCTACACTGAGCATGTGCGAGCCGGTGTAAACAGGAAGTAGATTGTCTCCTCTGCAGTAAATCCTCTGAAAGAGGAACAGCAGAGACAGTTGTAGCATTAAAACAGAATGTAAGTGAACAACAGCTGCAAAGACAACAAGGACAGTAACACTGTCCTTCATTATCATGTTGTATTCACCACTGGTAGTCCAGGCTGAGGAGAGCCAATCAGGAGAGGCTGTGGGGGTGACCTCATTGTTTACAGAGGTCTTAGTTTCTGCCCAGACTACAACACAACCCCAGAGTTTTCAAAATAAAACACAACCCCAGAGATTTCAAAATAAAACACAACCCCAGAGTTTTCAAAATAAAACACAACCCCAGAGATTTCAAAATAAAACACAACCCCAGAGTTTTCAAAATAAAACACAACCCCAGAGATTTCAAAATAAAACACAACCCCAGAGTTTTCAGAATAAAACACAGGTTCAGCAGCGTTTCCAAAAGTCTCCTCCTTCAGGGCTCCAACTCTGGAGTCGTGTTGGTGGCAGGAGGAAACATAGTCATGTGCATGGAGCCTCTGATTGTTTCAAACGTTCATTTCTGCGACAGTCACACCAGCAGAATGTGTAGACACTTAATGATCCTGTGCTTGATGACAGAAAACTCTAGCTGGATGTTTGTCTTCAGTTGTTGACGTGTTTGTGTGAAATCCAACAGTAGCTTGTGACTTTGAAGGAGGTGTGATATGAGGGTTTGATGACTCCCATCTGGTGTAAAATGTTAGCAGGCAGTTCTGCTCCCGCCGCAGCCTTATGATTATGAGTGTGTGTGTGTGTGTGTGTGTGTGTGTGTGTGTGGAAGAGAGTGCTTGTGTCAGCAGGAGAGCAGATGGGTGTGTGGGTGTGTGCAGTTTCTGTACAGTTTACTGTATGTGTGTGGTACGTACAGTTTACCGGACTCTGTGTGTGTGTGTGTGTGTGTGTGTGTGTGTGTGTGTGTGAGAGAAGTAATCCATTGTGTGCCCCCTTGCTGGTTCGTAATGTCTCTCTGATAAAGTCCGTCCCTGTGACCGAGTCCTTGTGAGTCTGATAAGTGTTTCATTATCAGATGAAGGACACGTTTCTCACCACGGATGAACCCTGTCCTCTTTCTGGGTCACTGTAACACTAGAAACCAAATACACAACTTCACCACTACAGCAGAGCTTTCTCAGTCACAGATGAATTTTTTAAATGATGAGTGTCATTTATTTGTTACAGCCTTTGTGTCTGTCAGTGATTCAGGACACTTCTTAATAGAAAAGTGTGTGTGTGTGTGTGTGCGCGCTCAGGTATCTCGTGTATGGCTCAGGACTGTTCCCTGCAGATGCCTGAAGACTTTGTCCTGCCACTGCTGCCAGGAGAGGAGCTGAAGGACAAATACAGACGCTACCTCTTCAGAGACTACGTCGAGGTGTGTGTGTGTGTGTGTCTGTGTGTGTGTGATGGTCTGCATGTACAGCACATGAGACGTCAGAGTTATGTGGAGAGTGAGTGAGAAACTGTCTGTGCAGTGTTGAATGTTCACGGTCTGTCTCTGGGTTTCCAGATATGTATTTATAATAATCTATAATCTCAAATTAGACATTCGTGTTTTCTGGAAGGATCATTCACCCTGATTACAAAGATATACATACATTACATACAATACATTTTCATTTATGTTTACTACTTTGAAAGACTGTAACTGGATAATCCTCAGAACACGGTGTCATCACAACAGTGTTCAGTTTTATGATTCTGTTGAACTGTCGTTTAAAAAAATATTTCACTGGTAAAGTTGAAAGGAAGTGAAAACTTCCAGCTCAGTTCTGTCTAAGGTTAGACAACTGTGCACATCATCATAAAAATTCATCTCCATTTTGACCAACGTCCCGTGTCTCTTTGACCTCAGAGTCATTTCCAGTTGCAGTTGTGTCCAGGTGCAGACTGTCCCATCGTCATCAAGGTGCAGGAGCCCCGGGCGCGCAGGGTGCAGTGTAGCCGCTGCAGTGAAGTGTTCTGGTAGGAGACGCGCACACACACACACACACACACACACACACACACACACACACAGAGCATGGAGTGTACAAACACTGGGCCTCATTCATGAGTCATATGAACAGATTTCATCTGAAAATCATTCACTAAACTACAGTATTAATAAGTTTCACTACTGTTAGTCAAGTTAGTTAGTGACCCGTTTTCTTTAACTTTTACTAACTCGTTAAACTGTTTCTGATCTGTCCTGAGCTGAGTGCTCTCTCAAATCCCATGCCATTATTGACATGCCTGACTCATAAAGACTACTGTTGCATATTTACATGATGGTTCTTAAACATTTGTATGTGAATGTGTGAACACTTTTTAATTTTCTGCTTGTTTTATCTGTGTCAACAGTAAAAATATAAATGTGTGTGTTTTCTCTGTGTCAGTTTTAAATGCCGTCAGATGTACCACGCGCCCACAGACTGTGCAACCATCCGGAAATGGCTGACCAAATGTGCCGACGACTCAGAGACGGCCAACTACATCAGCGCACACACTAAAGATGTATGATGGATCTGTCCTGAACACACACACACACACACACACACACACACACACACAAACATTACTTTACTTCTGGAGTCTCACACTTCCACACACACACACGGTTTGAAAACATGTAAAAGTACAAAGTGTGTTGCTGTGACCTTGAGCATGACTGTGTAGTACAGATTGAAATGATGTGTGTTTCTTCTCTAGTGTCCTAAGTGCAATATCTGCATCGAGAAGAACGGCGGGTGCAATCACATGGTGAGTCAGAGCTGACAATCTCACTTTCCCAGAACACAGGAAACGCTAAAAATATATTCAGACTGTGAGCTGAAGTCCTCCACTTTAATAGATTGACACAGTCAGTCCTGATGCATGTTACCTGGTGTATTTCTATCAGCCTCTCAGCTTCACGGGTGACGTCTCAGTCGTGTTAAATGAAGCACTAAATAGTTTTACATATAAAAACATTCAGTTGCTGATTTGCTCAGATTTGTTTTTCATGTTTCTGGTTCACTAATCGACTTCCTCCCATGTCTGTGTTTGTTGCAGCAATGCTCCAAGTGTAAACACGGTGAGTAGTTTCTCATCTCCTGTTTGAGCCTGTGAAGCATGAACCTGCTGCTCTGTGAGGAGCTCGGCGTCCATCTAGTGGCATCACACATCACACAACAAATATCCACCAGTCACAATTACAAGACGAGACGTGACTGAACTGCAGAGAGGAGCTGGTTACAAGGAGAGTCAGCACGGTTCAGTTTAGTCAGTTACATCAGGAATGCATTAAAACTGGTTCGTCCAAACCACAATTATCAACCAGATTAGATCAACTGCAGAATTCGGCGGAGCCTTTACGACAGGAACACACAGCCTGTGTTGCATGTGTGTCGCTGAGAATCAGTGTCTGTGTTCAGGTCGGCTGCAGCTCTGTCTCCCTACAGAGTTTATAGGACTTTTCTTTTGACAGAAAACGTCACTAAAACGTCTCTGTCTCCACATGCAGCTGCTGAAATGGTTAAAAATAAATTCATATTTTTCACGTCTGAAAAAAGATTCAGATTCAGACTCGGCACAGAAACTCTGTCGGGAGGAGTCAGTTTATATGAAGTTGCTGGTATGATGTCAATATGATCAGCAGGTCTTTTCTCTGTTTCTGCTGGGACACGCATCACAGTGAGAAACAGGCACCACATGATATTTTGACATTTTAAATAATGTTAAAAATTACAAATAACTAAAGGTTTTTGAGACGTTAAAGTGAGTAAATATATGGGAGAGTAACTACATATATATGGTTTCTTTTTGTGAATTTAAACCTTTTTTAACTGAAAAAATGGCACTTGGACAGAAAATGTAGGTGTCACATATCTATATATATACATATATACATATATACATACATACATACATACACACACACACACACACACACACACACACACACACACACACACACACACACACACACACACACACACACACACACACACACACACACACACACACACACTTGTGATACCTTCATGGTCCACAGGTTTGAAACCACTGCTGTACTGTGTGTGCCCAGCGTCATGTGCCAGGTTCTTGTTGTCATACTTGTCAATGTGAAGGTTTTGCTGCTCACAAATAGCAAGTGTGAGTCTGGAGGTTTGTGCATTGAGCCACAGCTTTACTGTACATGCTGTGTAATGTGTGTTGGTGTGTCCTGACAGACTTCTGCTGGATGTGTCTCGGTGACTGGAAGACTCACGGCAGCGAATACTACGAGTGCAGCCGCTACAAAGAAAACCCTGATATAGTCAACCAGAGCCAGCAGGCTCAGGCCAGAGAGGCCCTCAAGAAATACCTCTTCTACTTTGAGAGGGTGAGTTTGTTTTTTGTTCCTGTATGTCCTCCATTTAGATTTTATTCAAATAACATTTTAAAATGTATTAGGAGCATAAAAGCTCAGTGAAACTCCTTCCTGGATCAAAATAAAGAGTAAAAATCCTGCCTGTCTTTACTTTTGTTGATTTTTGGTTTTCTTTCTTTTCTGTGTTAAAACCTTCATCTGGTTTTAAAAGTCTGAACTCAAAACTGTTGTAACTTCATCATTTAAACTGGAGGGAGATTAACACCTAACAGATTTCCTGTCTCAAGGTTTTGAGGGACATTTGTGTGAGTGAAGACGTTCTCAGGACAGAAGACGCTGCACACTGTCTGAGTCTCTCAACCTGAACATTTGATGAACACGGACAAGTTTTAATTCTACAAGAGAAATATTCTTATTAATGTTTCTCTGCAGTGGGAGAATCACAACAAGTCTCTGCAGCTGGAGGCTCAGACGTACCAGAGGATCCAGGAGAAGATCCAGGAGAGAGTGATGAACAACCTGGGAACCTGGATCGACTGGCAGTACCTGCATAACGCTGCAAAGCTGCTGGCTAAGGTACGAAACACTGAACACCGACTGCGCCTGATGCAGAGGTGCTTGGTGGTTGGTAAATGAGAAGTTTGTTTAAATCAGATTTTAAATCTTAGTCAGAGTAGAAAGGAGGAGCAGTAACAGGCTCATCGTTTATCAGCACTCATTCAACTAATATCATCCTTCTCTTTTCACTTTCTCTTTCCTGATTGGAGGATTTCACAGTGAACATATGTCCTGTGATTTACCTGTGCAGTGTGTCATGACTTAGAATAAGACAGTCTCAGGTTGGATGAGCGGGCGCCCCATGTGTAGAGGCCGCAGTCCTCGCTGCAGTCGGCGCCGGTTCGAGTCCCGCATCAGACGGCCCTTTAGCTGCATGTCATTCACCCTCTCTGCCTCCCCACTTCCTGTCTCTCTACTGCACTGTCAATAAAGGCACAAAAAGCCTGAAAAAAAAAAAAAAGAATAAGACAGTCTTAATATTGACCATTTAATTAGGTAAACCAGCTCCAGCTGATTCAGAATCTGCTGCCAGAGTCCAGACCACAACACGTCACAGCTGATCTGAAGTCTCTACATTTCTTTCCTGTATTGATTTTAAAATTCTCTGACTTGTTTTTAAAGCTCTTGGCGTTCCCGTACGGGCAGATAAGTGTCACACGTTTACACTGTATGAAGCAGTGCGGCTCCTCAGCTCCTCTGGCGCCAGCCTGTGAACTGTTCTGCAGTGCAGGACTCAAACCTGTGGTGAAGCAGCGTTTAGGTTTTATGCTCCGAGTCGATGGAACAAAAATGTTCCTCTTCAGCCTGGCTTTTAATTAACTAATTAACTCTTTCATTAATTAACTATTTTTAGTTATTAGTCACTTTATTTTTCACTTATTATTAATTAAGTTTGTATTATGTTATTAGAGCTTTTTAAATCTGTTTTATCAACTTTCTCACTTGATTTGTCCTTTTTCTTTTTGGCTCCTCGGTCTGAAGCTCTTTCCTGTACAAATAACGATTGATTGATTGATTGATTGATAGATTTAGTCTCTTGTAGCACTTTGAATGAACGTGATGGTGAATCATGAGTCTGGTTCTGTCTTTTTGTTTCCAGTGTCGTTACACACTGCAGTACACATACCCCTACGCCTATTACATGGAGTCCGGCCCACGCAAGAAACTGGTGAGACACGTGACTGAGTTTTGAGTTTTGACCCGATAATGTTCGTTGTGTCTTTTATCATCTTTGTTGTTTTCCTCAGTGGAACAGGAAGTGATGTGTTTGTCCGTGTGTCCTCTGCAGTTTGAGTACCAGCAGGCCCAGCTGGAGGCGGAGATAGAGAACCTGTCGTGGAAGGTGGAGCGAGCCGACACCTACGAGAGAGGAGTGGTGGGAGGCGAGGGGGAGCTCAGCGCCAGTGACAGAGGGGTAAGAGAGGGTGACAGGATGGGAGGAGTTAATCGTGATCGGAGGGCGAGTTGAACCGACTGATCAGGGAGAGGAACGTCACACCACAGGAAGTGTTGGTCACATGACAGATTGAGTAATGAGAGCAGTCAGAGCTCACCTGTCCCTGGTAGACCATGTGTATGTGCTTGTGTTGTGTACATTCACTGTGCCTTGAAATTACAGCTCTATCTAAAGTAATCTTTCATTTTACAAGAAACCTGCTCAAACAGACACGATTGTGTTTTATATGTAAGACTCTGTTCATCTGCTGGTTTAATCTCTGTCTAAAATAGTACAAACATAAATCGTAGCTTCATTAGTGTTGACTTATTTTCATTAACGGTTTTATGATGTATTTTTTCTTTCTGACCAACAGGCCAGAATCTGAAAAAGTCACATTCATTTTATTTAATTTATTTCTATTAAAAAGAAAAGAATAGAGAAACTTCGGAGGCTCACAAATAATGTCATTTTATTTGGACTAAAAGAATCCAGCTCAACCTTAAAGAAGAGTCTTTAAGGTTTATTTCTGTCACAGAACTTGATGTTCTCTCTTTTCTTGTCTGTGACGCTCATCGTCAAACTCACTGGTTCCTACTGAGGATGGAAATAAGTCACAAACATTTAGTCTCCGTTGGAGAGAAGGTTTAATATTTTCCCGAACAGTTCAGTTACTGCAGCAGTGAAAAGTTTATTGGTCTGGGACAGTTTCTGCATTGAGACGCTTCGTGTATTAATTGCTGCTGTAGTGAATATTTCCAGAAGCAGGAAGGTGAACGTGAGTTTGAGTCAAAATAAATAAGTCAGTTACTAAACATTATAATGACTGATGATGTTTGTTTTTTCAGGATCTGGAGAATCAGATGCACATCGCTGAGCAGAGGCGACGCACACTGCTGAAGGATTTCCACGACACCTGAAGCTCCATCGCGACTGCAAAGCACCAGCATCTCCCTCCTCACTTCCTTCTTTGCTTCCTCGCCTCCTCCTCCCTTTGCTCCTCTTCATGACCATCCCCCGGTGCAGTCGTACTGACCCCCCCCCCCCCCCTTTGCTTCTCTACACTCGCTCATTTTGCTTCTTTCTTTCTGTCTCTCCCTCCTCCCGCTCCCACAATGCTGCAGGGTCAGAGAATGGCACGATTGTATCTCCCCTTCCTCATCCTCATCCTCATTTACATGTTTTGGATTCAGAGCGTCACGTTCACCGCGGTCATTCTTGTTGCAGCTTTTCAGATCTGATCTGATCATAAAGGTCAAAGTTTGAGGTTTTGTTAAGTTTGTGAAAACATTGAGTTTTCTTTTGTTTCACATTAGAAAAAAGACATTAAAGCGACATGTTTCCTGTTGAAAGAGTGAGAGCTGTTCTGTTATGAAGAGGATGAGGAAGATGGTTTTTTTCTTTGAAGACACGGTGCTGATTGTGGATCTGGATTTGGTGGTTTTAAATAGACCATGATGACTAGCTAACCCTCTAAACCTGTAGCACTTACTCCATTTTGTCTGAACACATCAGAGCTAATAAATGAAGCTAATGTGAGTTTCCTCTCTGAACGGGTTGATTTGAATAATTCTGGATCAAACGCGTCACTGCCGCTGCCCTGGCGCCGCTTTGAACAAACTTTATTACCCAGCAGCACAGGTGCAACGTGACAGGACAGTGAACAGACATGAAGATGGTGTGTTTGCTGTGAAAGAGACGGTGACTTCATAGTCCCACATACTCCTTAAATTACCTTTTTAAAAAAAGTTAAAATAAAAAAAATAAATAAATAAACAAAAATGAAAAAATAATAAAATACAGTATTTTCCTACGTATGATGCATGTTCGTATTCGCAAGATATTATAGAATAAGATGAATGTGACTTTTTTTTTTTTAGATTTTGTCACCAGTGTTTCATAATAACCCCCCCCCCCCCCCCGGGTTGTGTTAGTGTCAAACCAACGCCACTGACAGAAAAAGCTGCTGGTCGTTATGAACTAAGTAAAACTACTGAATTCCTCGGTTCTGGCTTCGTTCTCTCACTGGTGCTGGATCGTGTTCAGCTGATGAGTCTGACCTTCAACACCTCCTCCTCCGCCATTCACTCACACTACAGCTCCACCCACTGACACTGACATCAGCACGCACACGTCGACACGCTCACACTCAGACACTCCGCTGCAGGAGATAAAAATGTCACCTGTTAATTTCCCATCTTCCTTCCCTCCCTCCATCTCGTGCTCTCTCCTCTTTCTTTACATCCATCCCCTCACTTTGTTTTTGCTCTTTGTTTTCTCTTTTCTTGCCGCTCACATTGTTCTTCACACTTTTCTTCTGGAACATTGCTGTTGATAGATAGATCGTTTAAAAAAATGAAAAAAAATGGGAAAAAATACAAAAAAAAAAATTGCTGTAATTTTCAACGGTTGTACATTAATACAGAAATAGAGTTACTGAGAGAGTTTTTAAAACCGGACCCTGTGCCTTGTGTGTTCATTACACACACACACACACACACACACACACACACACACACACACACACACAAATAATAAATGACCAAGTGATAATAAGACAATAACAGGAACTGAGGAAACACTGAAGACTGGAGAGCAAAGAAAACGATTTGATAACGATAAAATACTAAAACAGAGGAGATGTGTTAAAGAGAGTAAAACCAGAAATAAAAGTAGGGTATTAAAATGAAAACAATCCAGAAAATAATAAAAGGACATTCCAGTAAAACAACTTGACGTATAAATAAATAAAATCAATTAATAGCTAGACTGAAAAGGAAGGAAAAGGAGAAATGATATAGTTTCATATGCAATAGGGTGATTATCTTAAGTGTTTTGTTCTTCATATTCCTGGAGGAAATGTGATGATTTAATTATCCTTGTAGGGAAATATTAATTACTACCTTAACAGGAGGCTCATGTGACACTTAAGGGTTTCAGCTCCTAAACAATGAACCAGCTGGAGATAAATTCAGCTGAAATGTTTAAATACAACCATGTTTTATAGACAGCCATAGACTCATGGGTCATAGTGAACTTTATTAACTGATTTAATGTTTAATGTTTAATGTTTAAAATCTGACATAAATACTCGATGTGCCACTCGTTGATCCCATACACAAATGTAATATATGTACATATGAAGTGAAAACATATCTGTAAAAATTACAAATGGAACCTGTCAGAAATTGGAACAATTTCATATATTGAGAAACAGTTTATATCTCATACAAATATATGTATGTTTACGTATGGATTCTTACATCGTAGACATATGTTAGATAAATATATTTCCATCCCAAAGCCTGTTAATATACATTATTATTTTAATATATAATAATATTTTATATATTTTCTTTATATTATTTATATTATTTAAATACACTTGCAAATATAAATGAAATATATATAATTAACAAATATAGTTTCAACATGTTACACCATATAAACATTTTTAATCATTGTAATTTTGCAGTGGGTATTTCATGTTATAAACCTATATATCCAGGGGATGTATATATGTGATAATAATATAAGGCTACATCACTCATGATATAGAGACATGTATGTCACGTATTACATTTCTTTATGGGATTACACGAGTTCAGATCCATAGTTGAATCTGCTGTAAATGTGAACGATAGAAGACAGAAGTGTGTGAACGCTGTTGGTTTTTCCTTCGCTCCATCTCAATAATAGTTGCTGAATATAATTTTAATATATTTTTTAAAAACATGTTGAGTCATCTTGATGTTTGTCAGCAGTCAGTTCAGTCACCTCTGACATTATCAGGCTGGCTCCCCCCCCTCACTCGGCCTGCTGCTTCTGCTGCTGCAGCCTAATATAGTGAAGTGTAATGGAGTGCCAGGAGAGTTCATAGCGGCTCTGCTTGGCCTTATGTGTGTGTGACCCACTTTCACCTTCACACAGTAACATGGAGCTTGGGGGGGGGGGGGCTCTGCTCCCTCAAGGGTTTATTCCAGAGCAGGAAAGCCATGTGATCCTCACTTTAACAGGGGATTTTTTGAAGCCAGTGTAAAATACGATGAGACATTTTACTTTTCTGGCCTCTGTGAAATAAAACAAACCCCCACTCCGACACTCAGTGAGATGTATCTTGGTGCACATGTAATTTATTTTTAGCTGCAAACAAATCAAAGGAGGTCATGCTGACGTCACATGATCCATGACATGGCAGTTTGTTCCTAAATCCAAATATATTTACAGAGACTTATTTAAACAAGCTTGTAACAACAAGTTACAATACAATCAACAAAGTATAAAACACTAAACAACAAATCTATAAAAATGACTGTTAATGAGAACAGATCTGGAGTTGAATAAGATTTGTTATTGGACGCCTGTTGACTCCGACTGTACAAGGCAGTTTAATTATTTCCCCAAGCACCAAGAAACGATCAGTTGATTAATCCATTAGTCAATTGATAGAAGATTAATAGACAATTATGCTGATAACTGATAAATGATTTATGTCATTTTTTTTAAGCAAAAATGCCAAAACCTGACTGAATCCAGCTTCTCTAGTTTTCTTTGACAATAAACATCTTTGGGTTTTTTCACCATTGGTCAGTCAAAACTAGATATTTAAATATATTAACATGAGCTCAAGGAATAATGATGAACATTATTTACTTTTTTCTGACGTTTTATACACCGTCAATCAATCGGTTACTAAAGAAAATAATTGATAATGAGAGTAATAGTTGGTTGCAGCTTCTCTGATGATAATATTAATAATACCTGAGTGTCAATTACTTGAGGCAAAAACAGGAAGCAATTATCAAACTCAACTTTACAATGAATTAACTCAATATAAATATAAATATAAATATAAAGACTCTATTTTGACACAAGGTCCCTTAACAAGACCAGGGCCATGAGATGGAGGGTGGACGGCTGGTCAGAGATGATGTTGTACTGCAGAGGTGCAAATTTCCAATAAATACACAACTAATCCCACATGACATGGAGTAAACCGGGGGTCTCTGGGCAACAACACCTGTATAAATTCACATGTCATAAACATCCATATGCCAACTGAACTACCATGAGTGAACTGTACTGCATTATACAGAGAGGTGTTTCTGTCATGTAGCCTCCCCTCACTGATACAGATGAGGTGGACAGAAGAAAAACCTGTCAGTACAATGCAATAATATTCAACTGCAGCACAAACTGCGTCCTCCAAAATGATCATAAAGTCGAATCATCACCTCTCTAATACTGTAGAAACCTGATCAACTGACAACTGAGTGTCTGTATAAGTATAAGTACATATATGAAATTTGAATTATTATTAATAAAAATGTAACATAATAACAATAATAACATAAAATGAGGGGGCGGGTCGGCCGGATGTGACGTCGGTGTCGGAAATGCTGTCAGACACGGGAATAACGCACGTGTCGGAGGGAGCTGCAGAGAGAACATGAGCACCGAGCTCGTGCTGACCGAGAACACTTAAACGTGCGCACAGACTCTTCGTGCTCAGTTTGTAGCCGGTAACTCGGTCACACGGTCAGGAGGATCTCTGCAGCTCAGAGGCGCGGGAAACAGGACGACGTTTGAAGAGAAGCAACGTTCACGGCGGAGGAAGAAAGTTCTCGGTGTCTGTCCCGGGGCCTCTGTGTGTGTGTGTGTGTGTGTGTCTGATTCTGTGTGTGTGTGTTCGCGGCTCGTTAAGTTGGTTTATAGTTAGTTAACACTAACCAGAGGACTGCCGCGGGTTCTGGACGTCATGGCGGACTACCTGATCAGCGGGCAGACCGGTTACGTCCCCGACGACGGGCTGACGGGACAGCAGCTGTTCAACGGAGGAGACGGGCTCACATACAAGTAAACCGTCACTGTCATCCCCGCTCCCCTGCCCCGGGCTAACCGCGCTAACCGGCCCCGATACCGCGAGAACACCTGAACATGTCTCGGTGTTAGCTTAGCATGCTAACGGTAGTAGTGTTTTGTATATGAATTTACCGTTAAGTGACGTCAGTCTTACTTAAGCAACGAACCGAGTTGTTGAGAGCTGAGGAGCACCACGTCACTAATACGTCACACAACCAGATGAATGAATGATGACAGACTTCATCTATTAGAACAGACGGTTTAATTACTGATCAATCGATCCGATATTTGTTCAAAGAAACATTGAACCACTACCTTTTTAAAGGGACAGTCCCTAGCATGGCTGTCAGGCTCCAAAAACACATTGTCCTACATTTCCCATAATGCACCCTGCATAATCTGTTATTTCTTCAAACTTTATAAAGCTGTCTCCAGAGCGATGAAAGACAATACACCTGTTGTCACAGACTGAGCAGCTCTCCTTACATCACACTGAACTTTATCTTTAGTGGTGGTCTGTCCCTTTAAATGTCCAGTCATCTCACATTTACATTACAAGTTACAAGAGCTCAAAGTGGTGTCTTAAATTATTTTAGAAATGTTTGTTATGAGCAGCCCAAAGTATGACATTTATAACAAGAAACTAGAGCTGCACAATTCATCGAAACATAATTGAATTCACAATAAAACCAAGTGCAAATATCCAGATCACAGGAGCTGCAGTTTTTTTGATGAAGGTAAAACAGACACCGACCTACAGATCATATTCCCCACACGTAAAGGAACAAAAATCACATCATCATTTTAAGATTTTTATCAGTGACAATGTGAAAATGATTATTCACACTGAAATCACAATAATGATAATAATAATAACCAAAATAATTGCAATTTATTTCATTTTTTTGCATATCTTGTATCCCTACAAGAAACTGAACAAAGCTGTGTGTGCGCTGATATACCTGCTGTTAAAATAAGAAAACAGAGTTTCATTGTTAATCCACTGTTGTTTGAATTAGGAGGGCAAAGTAAGAAAAACTAGTGTCTCTGTGTTTACATCACTAACTGTTGTTGGCAGCAGAACAAACACATTGAACCGTCAGTGAAGTTTTATGACTGATTTGAACTTTATCCACTGAGAGTCAGTTTTTTTCACCTTATAAATTAAACATCTTCCGCCATAAATGATTAAACGGATTAGAGAGAGTGAAAACAGTGGTGTAACTTTCTATTGCAGCTTCCTGGAAACGAGACCGGGACAAATTCCTTCTGTACACACACCGGTCCCAAATATAGGTCCTGGTTTACACAGGCCCGTGTCGTCGTGCTGCACTGCGTGGAGCCCGCCTATATTTAGATCATGTGTGTGGTAGTCCTCTGTAAAACAAAGCACCATCTTAGAGCAGTGTTCTTAATCAATGTTGGAATCATCATAAAATTGCTATTCAAAAAAAGCATTCAAAGTATTCAGGGACATGGAATAGAGGGAAGTGGGTAACTCTGCGTGTTCAGATGTAGCCACCAGTGATTGGTGCTGTAACAGTTTGTCCATTGATTAGTCAATTAAGTTGATGAAATTTAAATAATAGATCAGTCAGTTTGTTATATATTTGCTACCACATCTCAAATGTGAATATTTGCTGCTTTTAGTTCCAGGTGGTTTTAAATTGAATATTTTTGGGTTAATTGTTGATGTCACTGGAGACTATAATGAATATTTGTCACTATTTTCAAGTATTTTATTTTGGTGATTGATGGAAAACTCAAGGAAATGAACCATGAGTCGTATTATGGCAGTGATGTGATATAAAGCAACATTTATCAGCTGTCTTAACTTTGCATAGTTACTGTAACCACCACCCACTGATCCCATGATTTAATTGATTAGTCTGAATGCGTTTTTCAGCATGTTAAAGTGTAGTAGTTATAGTCATGACTGACAGTGACTCAGGTCACATGTTGGAGCACGCCATCTTACCTCCTGTCTCTGTCACATGGGCCTGGCTGCGACTCGTGGATCGTCAGGCCTTAAAAAATGTCTCTGCAGAGAGATTTTACACATGCACTTGTTCTGTAACGTGACGCCCTGTGAGGATTCCCAAGAAAGGAATTCATGCTCTGTCCTGCTCTGGAGCATCAGTCACATTTTCTTCCTTGAATGCCATTTTGGTTTTCTATTTCTGAACTGGGAAATCTTCAGCTGGCAAATATTCACTCCAGCATGATCACTATTTCCAGACACACGAGCTTACTGCTAAACCTGTTGTAAGTGCATGTTTCCTCTCTACATAAACTGTAACTGTGATATGAAGCAGGATCAAACAGGAAGTTTTAGTTCTCTCTGGCTCTGATTGGCTGAGGCAGGTTCACAGCTGCCAGGATGGACAGGTCTTTTTTTTTTCACATATTCACATGTTTATTTGATAAACATAGTGCAGTAACAATGACAACCTGGTTGTTGTTCAGATCAAGTAACACTGACATTTTACAGAAGGTTATTTAACTTCATACATCATGTAGACTTAAACATTAATTACTTACATTCTATACGAAAACTATGTTAAAACTATATTCTGTTTACAAATAATGATGATACAAGAAAATACAAGTAATACAATAAACACAGAGAAATAAAAGAAAATAAAGTTAGAAAACACGAAGAGTAAAATACTCAAGTAGAAGGTCGATTGATTTATTAATCTGATAATCAGTAGAACTGAGGAACTGAACAAAGGGATAAAATAAATGATATTTGGAGATGCAATGGACAGGTCTTGTACAGATTTCATTTTTGCTGCTGTAACCTCTTCTCCTCTTTCTTGTTTCTCCTTTAGCGACTTTCTGATTCTCCCCGGTTACATCGACTTCACATCAGACCAAGTGGTGAGTTGGGATGGACAAACATTTATTTAGCAACACACACAAAAAGTGATTAATGCGTCTAATCTGAGTTTGGGATGATGTCCAGGACGAGAGCACAGCGGTGAGATGATCAGGCTCCCGTCACAAATATTTCCTGAATTACAGTGTCTGTATTTCCATGAGTCTGAGCCGTGAGTTATGGCTTCTCTGACTTAGAGTTGAACCTGGTGTTTTCACTTTAAAGTGAGACAATTACATTTTCGCTAAAAGCTGCAACTGTAATATTTATGGGATAATTCTGAAATATCGTGTAGTTGCTGTGGTGTCTTTGTGAGGTTTCATTGTCAGTGTCGTCCTGAAGTTAAAGTTTGGTTGATCATTTCCATGATATATACTGTGTACAGTTGGTATGTAATATTGAACTCGTACATACACCTGTGCTAACTGCAGTGACAGTTAGCACAGGTGTAAACCTGTCACCTGTCACAGTTGAAGTGTGACAGGTGAAGAATAAACTGCTGAACTAATAAGATAAGATGAATCTTTATTGATCCCCGAAGAGGAAATTCAAATTACACAGCAGCACAAAAGAAAAACAGCACAAGGGGAAAAAAGTAGAAATAAAATAAGAATAGAAACAGAATCTAGAATAAATAAGATAAATTAGAAACACTATTTACAATAACATACAACTTATAACGTGTGTCTCTGATCCAGGACCTGACGTCAGCACTCACCAAACAGATCACCATGAAGACGCCCTTCGTCTCCTCCCCCATGGACACGGTCTCAGAGGCCAACATGGCCATCGCCATGGCAGTAAGTGTGACACACAGACGCACGCGATGACACGCATGTCGTCATGTTTGTGTCCCATGACTCACTCTGAGGTGTCGTCTCCCCCCAGCTAACGGGCGGCATCGGCTTCATCCACCACAACTGCACTCCAGAGTTCCAGGCCAACGAAGTCCGCAAAGTCAAGGTAGTGATGATGGTGATGATGATGGTGGTGGTGATGATGATGGTGAAGATGATGATGGTGATGATGATGATGGTGATGATGATGATGATGATGGTGATGGTGAAGATGATGATGGTGATGATGATGATGATGATGGTGATGATGATGATGATGATGATGGTGATGATGATGATGATGATGATGATGATGATGATGATGTTGATGAAGATGATGATGGTGATGATGGTGATGATGATGGTGATGATGGTGATGATGATGGTGATGATGGTGATGGTGATGTTGATGTTGATGAAGATGATGATGATGATGGTGTTGAAGATGATGATGATGATGATGATGATGATGGTGATGATGATGGTGTTGAAGATGATGATGATGATGATGGTGATGATGGTGATGATGATGATGGTGATGATGATGGTGATGATGGTGTTGAAGATGATGATGATGATGATGATGATGGTGATGATGGTGATGGTGATGTTGATGAAGATGATGATGATGATGATGATGATGATGATGATGATGGTGATGATGGTGTTGAAGATGATGATGATGATGGTGATGATGATCTTTTTCTTAGTTTAAGGCTGTTTTTTCTTCTTCTTTGTTTCCTGTTCAGTCGCCTCACGTCGTCTTCTTCTCTTCTGCTTGTTTTGTCAGTTTGGATGTAGATAGATCCAGTAGACCTGTATTTACCCAGAATCCTTCTTCTCCTGACTCCCTTTACTCTTCCTCTTCCTCATCCCTATGTTTCCGCCCCTCCCTCCTCCAGCGTTATGAGCAGGGCTTCATCACAGACCCCGTGGTGATGAGCCCCAACGAGCGCGTACGGGACGTCTTCCAGGCCAAGGCTCGCCACGGCTTTTGCGGCATCCCCGTGACAGACAACGGCAAAATGGGCGGGAAGCTGGTTGGCATCATTTCCTCGAGAGACATCGACTTCCTGAAGGAGGAGGAGCACGACCTGCTACTGAGTGAGGTGGGCGGAGCTTAAACACAACACACAGTATTTTCCCCAAGAGCCAGAACTTTTCACATTCTCTGAAACCTCCTCATTAAATCTAGACACTGAGTTGACTGTCTGTCCGTGTCAACGTTCTCACAGGTGATGACGAAGCGAGAGGATCTGGTCGTCGCCCCCGCTGGAGTGACGCTGAAAGAAGCCAATGAAATCCTCCAGAGGAGTAAGAAAGGTGAGCAGAGCGTTCGATCTGAATCATGAATTAATAATCTGAAGTAACACTGATTAACCCACATCCAGGTGCAGATGTGTGCACATGTTTAACCTGTCTGACTCCGCCCCCTGCAGGTAAACTGCCCATAGTGAACGAGGAGGGGTCCCTGGTGTCCATCATCGCTCGCACAGACCTGAAGAAGAACAGAGACTTCCCTCTGGCCTCCAAAGATTCCCGTAAACAGCTGCTGTGTGGCGCCGCCATCGGCACCCACAACGACGACAAGTACCGCCTGGACCTGCTGGTGCAGAGCGGCGTGGACGTGGTCGTGTTGGTGAGGACGCTCTGTCAGACAGCCTGATGTCAGTCAGACTGTTTCTCTAAAACAAACACTGACTCATTTTAGATAAAAACCAGACACCTTACCCACAGGTCTAAGACCGATGTTACCATGGTAACAGTCAATGACACCTGCTCTGAACGGCAGCCCCCCAACAACAAAAGACAGGACAGGACAGACTATGACATCAGAATAATGAATGTGCCTGCACGCTGTCACTGAGTGTTGGTGAGACGACCTCTCTGTCACAGTCATGACGCCGTGCCGTGATGACGCTTGTTTCTTCTTCACCTCCAGGACTCGTCTCAGGGAAACTCAATCTTCCAGATCAACATGATCAAATATATCAAAGAGAAGTACCCCCACCTACAGGTCATCGGAGGCAACGGTAACTACACCTGGACATAACTACACACCAACATGCACAGTAAGAATGTGCTGGGGTTTATTCTGATGGTCACAGTGAGAGAGAGACATCAAGTCAGGGGGGGGGGGTGATATGCAGCAAAGAGCCACGGGTCGGACTCGAACCCACGGCTGCTGTCGTTAGGACTGAGCTCATATCATGCTCCACCAGGTGAGCCACCGAGCCACTGATGAGTTACGACCATTTATAACAGGTAAAAGGAGCCTTGAGTTACTATAAGGCTCCTTCACCTGTTCTAAATACTAGTAACTCATTAGTAAGATTAATGAGTAAGCATTAACTTGATCTTGCCAAATAGTGAGCTGCATCAATGTATGAAAACTGTTATAACTTGTTTATAATTGTTTATTTAATGTTTATAAAGCGTTAACAACTGAATTAATAACCTAATTATAAAACATGTATAAATCCTTTATAAGGGTAGTCTTATTGTGAAGTGGCACCACTATAATTACTATCAATATGTAATATAATCAAATATCACATCTATTTTATACTATTTTACATTATTATCATAACTTTTTCTTTTTATTATTATTCTACATTATTATTATCACATTCTTCTTACATGTATATTGAAACACACACACACACACACATATTACAGACTCATACCATTTTTCTGTTATGTTGTTGATGATGTTAAAGAAAAGAAAGAGAACATGGTGATGATCCAGCGCTGACGCTCTCTCTGTCTCCCCCTGTCTGCTGCAGTGGTGACTGCAGCTCAGGCCAAGAACCTGATCGATGCCGGAGTGGATGGACTCAGAGTGGGGATGGGCAGCGGCTCCATCTGCATCACTCAGGAAGGTGAGTGACTGACACCAACCGACACCAGCAGCTGCTCCAACCACAGTCAGCCTCTGCTGTTACTGAATGTACCAGGAGGAAGGTAGGAGGAGACAGGATGATGATTACTGCCCTGATGTGTGGATCAGACTTTATATATGACACGGGGGGGTTGCTGAGTCCTGTGCAGTTTGTGTTAGAGCAGGATCCTTAGAAGGAGACATGAGTTCTTTCTTCTCTCAGATAGTCTGTTGTGGTTCTGTGTGAAGCTTTGGATAAAGCTGTTGTCGACATTTCTGGTCTCAGAAGTCTCTGCCCCGGCCCCGCCCCCGACCCCGCCCCCACCTGCCTGACTCCTGCAGGGTGTGAAAGAACATGAGCTACGTCTGATCTGGGTTCAGTGTTTCAGTCTGATAATGAAGTCCAGTCAGAGTTGTGTCTGAGACCAGAAATAAAGTTGGTGGTTAAACTGGTTAGGTTAGTAGGTTAGTAGGTTAGGAGGCTCGTTACGATTCAGCGCCCCAGAAAAGTTTTGAATATGAGCATGTTTTGGATTTTGGATTTAATCGTCAGTGGGATAAAGTCAGCAGTGACAGTATAGATCTGTAGACGTATAGATACGGTCTGTGCTTCCTGTTGTCTCTTCATCTTTCCCAGGATTCCTCTGAAATCATCAGCTGTTCTTGTTCTTCATTTTCTTGTGCTTATTGTTTTCTTCATTTCTGTCTGTCGTCTTCATCTGGGTGTTGTCCTACCTGACCCCCCCCCCCCCCCCCCCCCCCCCCCTTCTCCCTCTCGTGTGTGTGTGTGTGTGTGCGTGTGTGTGCGTGCATGTGTGTGTGCGTGTGTATGCGTGCGTGCATGTGTGCGTGCGCGTGCGTGCGCGTGTGTGCGCGTGCGTGCGCGTGTGTGTGTGTGTGTGCGTGTGCGTGTGTGTGTGTGCGTGTGTGTGTGTGTGTGTGTGTGTCCAGCTCCCCTCAGTGTCCCACCAGCAATAAAGCTCCACAGCCCCAAAACCCCAACCACTGTTACAGGATACTGCAGTAAGTTCCCCGCCCCCCGCCGCCCTTTGGGCCGCGCCGGGCTCCCATTGGCTCCACTATCACAGTGTGCCCCCCCACCCATACCTGTCACTCCACAGCCTGCTGCATTGATTGGTTAACAGCTTTGCTTCAGTAGCAGTAGTAGAGGTCGTGTTTTGGGGTTTTGGGGTTTGCCTGTTCCTGTCCTCACTAATCTGTCAGCTCGTCCTGCACCCACTTTACTGACCGACTGGTCTCTGATCTGGATGATGTCATCAGACTGAGACACTATCCACTTGTGTCTTTTGGTTGCCGATGGATACCATTGGTCAGATGGTGGCTGGTCCAAACCCTCTGTGTGCTGCTTCTGTGACAGGGAATGAGACTTACTGCCCCCCCACCCCCACCATTGTATCAGCTGGAGGCTGCAGCTCTCGTGATGTCTAACACCCATTCCTAACATGTGGCACTGGAATGAGCAGAGAGGCTCGGTGGAGCTGGGTGTGTTCAGCAGCTGGTTGGAACCAGGCACACTTTGTTTCCAGCTGTCAGATTTCAATTATCATGATTAGTCGTCATCATTAAAGAAGAGGCCTTGATGAATTTGTCTGTGCCTCACTTTCTAATAGTCAACATTAGGGATGTCCCGATCCAAGTCATTTAGTAACGAGTCCTGATCGATACTTCAGATACATTAATAAAAACGTGACTCAGACTACTTCCAGGTTACATCCCCGTTTATCCAGAGTCATACTGACCTTGACCTTTGACCTTTAGCCACCAAAATCTAATCAGTTCATCCTTTAGTCCAACTGAACGTTTGTGCCAAATCTGAAGACGTTTCCTCGAGGTGTTACTCAGATACCGTGTCCATGAGAATGAAAAGGACGGACAAACCGAAAACAATATGTCTCCAGCCGTGACTGTCGGAGGAATATAAATCCTGAATCCTCGATTCCTTAATGTTTTTATTTAATTATTCTTAAATCAAAAGCTGATAGGATCAGTTATAAAATGCCTTGATTGGCCCAATACGATCTCTGAGATCAGGTTAGGGACATCCCTAGTCCACGTAGTACACTCGGTCTCTATAGAGACGCTGACACGCCAGCACACGCCTGTGACACATGTTAGACGTGCAGCATGCTGCATGTGACTCTGTGTTGGTCTGAGCAGCATCAGGTTTTTATTCACTCCGCTCACATGTTTCTGAAATAGATCTGAACTGAGCAAGGAAAATATCGTCTATAGTTTGAACATAGCTGTGATATGTGGTGTAATAATAACAGGTTTCTCCAAAAATAATGAAAAGGCAGCAGCAGGCAGGAAGGTTTCATTTCATTTTAGTTTGTATCAGCAAGATACAATGTCAGACATGATGCAACACATCTGTACGGTGGCTGTAACGGCCCAAAACACTTCACTCAGGAGAAATGATGCAGATTCAAAAACAAAACAGCAGAAACATGCTGCAGGATGACAAAACCAAATATCCAGACAAGACAACATCAGAGCTCCAGGCCTGTAGGGGGAGCTCTAAGTGGAACACCCATGGACTGTATTTAAGCTAACGCTAATGCTTGCTACGTTATCTGTTGCTCTTTTATAATACTATAATAATACTGTAAAAACTACGACCAAATGTCTGCATTCTTTCTCAATTGGTCAAAGGTCAAAGGTCAGGTCATAGGTGTGGCCCCTCTGGGCCAAGCTCAAGCTTATACTCAAGGTGTTCCAGTTAGAGCTCCCCCTACAGGCCTGGAGCTCTGACGCCGTGCTGTATGAGTTTTGGGCCGTTGCAGAGTGTTTGACCTCGTCAGCCACCGTACGTCTCCTCTCTGAGATCTTGAATTCTTGGCAGGCTGATGTTTATCAGTTCAGCTCACAGGAAACAAAAGTCCAGTGGTAAAAAAGGAACTGGGATGTTTCTCTGCGCTGCCACTTCATGAGTCCTCAGTGTCTTTTACTCGAGGGTGATAGAGACTGTCGGACGAAGTCTCGGAGGTGTTGGCTCTAACAGAGGCAGGACTCATTACAGTGTGTGTGACAGAGTTGTCAGTGTTGAGTGGCGTTTGTCTGCTGATGTAACAAGTTTAACTTCCTCATCTGTGTCAACACACATGGACGTATTCCAGCCTGTCTGCTCATTCACTGTGTGCTTTTTATTTTTATTAAACGCCTTCTCCTGAGAGTCTGAACCGCACGTGTCTGTCAGAACTCAGCTCGTCAGATTATCAGACACCTGAGGATTCCCGCTCCAGAGCTCACCTGTGGTAATGTTAGTAGTAAAACAGGTAGAAACTGTGTCAGAGCCATGTTCCTCTTCACGGAAATCATAAATGTAATTATCATATGAAATGAGAATTGGTAAAAAAAAAAAAAAAAAAAAGGAAGAACGTGAGTCTGTAAAGCTGTGTGTGTTGAGCTGTGTACGAGCCTCAGGTGTGTGTTCATCTCTGCACATTTTCTCTCATCATTTAACCCTCCCTCTCTCTGTCTCTCTCTCTCTCTCTCTCTCTCTCTCTCCCTCCCTCTCCTCACCCCTCCTACCAGTGTTGGCGTGCGGCAGACCCCAGGCCACAGCCGTCTATAAGGTGTCGGAGTACGCCCGGCGTTTCGGCGTCCCGGTCATCGCTGACGGCGGCATCCAGACTGTCGGACACATCGCCAAAGCCCTGGCACTGGGAGCCTCCACAGGTGAGGACGGATGAGTCTCAGGGCGTTTATCATTTAAATATCTGAAAGTCTGGATGAGGAGGAACTCGATGAGTTTTATTTAATCCATGTCAGAGGATTATAAAGTCAACAGTACATGTTCACGTTTGGATTATGGTGTTTTCTGCCCTCAGTGTGAAACTGTGACACACACACACACACACTTCTTTCAGCTGTCATCATTAAGATTCAGGAGCTAGTTGCTCAAAACACACTGAGTTAAGATTTTCCTTAAAGTCTGAGTTCAGGTTTTGTTTAGTCTGATGGTCTAGAGTTGTGTCGCTCTACGGTTTGTGTCGCATGATCTCTGTGGTCAGGTGTAGTCGAGGTGTTTCATGTGCACAGATCAGAGGTGTGTCGGGTCACTGTGCTGAACTTCCTGTTAAAACAGGAGAATGAGACAGCAGCTTCCTCATATGATAACAAGTGTCACAAGTGCTAATGGCAGCAAATCAACAGTCTCCATGGAAACAGTAGAATTTTACTGCTGTAAAATCTGTTTGACTCTTTAAGAGATTCTGTGCAACTCCCTCAGCTAAGGAGAAATTAAACCTTACTTCAGTAGAAAACTTCGTGTTTTGTGTGAGTGGCCCCTGTACTCTTTATGTCCTCTGTGTGTGCAGTGATGATGGGCTCTCTGCTGGCCGCCACCAGTGAAGCTCCTGGTGAATATTTCTTCTCTGACGGCATCAGGCTGAAGAAGTACCGCGGCATGGGCTCCCTGGACGCCATGGACAAAAACCTGGGCTCCCAGACCAGATACTTCAGGTACAGAGACAAACGAGAACCGGACTAACAGACAGTTTATAGTTGGGTAACTTCCCCCAGGACTCACTCCACCCCTAAAGAGAGAAGACGGTGAAGGCCCCCCCCCTCACTGCACAGCCCAGTCTCTCCACCAGGCCGTCAGGAGATGGTTCTCTGCCAGTTTTTTCCCAGATGACAAAACTTCCTCTTTTGATTTTCAGTGGTTTTCAGAGTGTTTGACTTTGCTGGGTGTGAAGAATGATCAGTCTGCTCATAGAAGACATTTTAGACTCTAATAGTTTTAAATAAGTCTTAAATATTTACTGTGGTTTGAAGGTAAATATCAGAAACTGCTTCAGTTCTTTCACCTTATTATGGATCAAATCTTCAGCCACTAGGTGGCAGCACACAGACTGTAGATCATCTGCTTTAACTGTCAGTGATGTTTCTCTGACCCCCCCACCCCACAGTGAGAGTGATAAGATTAAAGTTGCTCAGGGTGTTTCTGGAGCGGTGCAGGACAAAGGCTCCATCCACAAGTTTGTTCCCTACCTGCTCGCTGGGATCCAGCACTCCTGTCAGGACATCGGAGCCAAGAGCCTCACACAGCTGAGGTGAACACACACACACACACACACACACACACACACACACACACACACACACACACACACAGGAACAGTGTATTTCACTGAGCCTGATATTAGAGTCACATCATCTGAATGAAATGATTAAAGAGGAAATGAGAGCACACTGACATGTTGGGGGAATTTTGTTTTTTTTCTTTCTACAGAATAAAATTGGGAATTATAATTCTAATGTAAAACAGTATTAAAGTTAATGAAAGCACACACTAACTACAGGTCATCTAGCGATGGATCACAGCAGTCAACATGTTGATGTTCTGACCCAGCAGTCCTCAGGACTCCGGTCACAGCTGATAATAACTGTCAGTGTGAAAATACTTTGAACATGTTGTTTGCTGAACATAAACTTTAGGACACGGAGGAGATGAACTTTTCCTCTTTGATATTTAAAGTTTGTGAAACATGAACAGATTTGTTCAGAACCTCGTTTACACACGATGTGACTGACGATCAACAGACAGGATGTGTTTTACATTACTCATCAGTCAGTGTTTCCTACACGTCTGAAATAAACTTGTGGTGGTGCATTTATTAAATATTCCTCAGCGACATGTTGTTTCTCCACACTGGACCTGCTGCTGTCTCATTACCTGCAGCAGCTTCACTGACACCGACTGGAACTGAGAACTGATTTGTCCTTTAATATCCACCGAACGCCACACGTCTCCCTCTTCCTGTTTGTCTTTGAGCGTTAGCAGCACGAGAGGTTCAGGGCAGCGAGGAGAGAATAGTTAACGGATCACGGATGGCGTATCGACGGATTAAAAATCAAACAAATAAAATGTCAAAATGAGTCGGCAGATATACCTGGGCAGTAAAGTATGTGTGGGAAACCCTGACAGTTATTAATCTGAGCTTTCAGCTTCAGATGCCCTTCAGCAGTAATTAGCAGGTGTTAGCATGCTAACACACTAAACAAAGATGGTGAACCCAAAGCACTGCTGCTATATCCTCAGAGCTGCTCACATGGTGCAGGCTTGTGTCGCTCTGTGTCATATTCTTGTTGTGTGTTTCTAACACAGTTGTGTGTTGTGGCGTTCTGTGTGTAATCGTGTTTCCCTCCTCTCTGCAGAGCCATGATGTACTCTGGAGATCTGAAGTTTGAGAAGAGAACAACATCGGCTCAGATGGAAGGCGGAGTCCACAGCCTGCACAGGTACTTACACACACACACACACACACACACACACACACACACACACACACACACACACACACACACACTAGGCTGAGGTCGAAGGTCAAAATAGTCTTCTCTTCGACCTCGATGGAAAATGTCCTGAGGTCACAGCTGTGAAGGAGAATTCATCAGGACTGAGGAAAAGAATGTGACCGCACTGACACTGAACCAAGTTTATTTTTAACACGTGGACGATAAATCCTCCGTTATTAACCACAAAAAAACAAACAGGATCGAAATGTTGAAATAAGAAAACATGAAAGAAATACACAAGTAGAAAGAGTTGAGCCATGAAAATAATAATGAAGAAATGAATTATATTCAGACATCAGTAGGTTGTATACTTTGGAACTTTTGACTTTATTATACAGTTGTTAAGAAGAGAAAATTATTTTCTTAATGCAGTGAACGGCTTTAGATTGTTATGATGATGAAGATAATCTGCTTGTTCTTCATGATGACTCCTCACTGGATTTAAAGTGAATAAATCTATATTCAGACAATCAGACGAGGATTTCCATCAGGTCTGGATCAAGTCACAAACATAAAACAGCTGCTCTGTTTCTTTATTTATGTGGCTCTGCTGTGGTTTAAAAAAAGGAATTGTGGGACGGCATTTTCTCCTTTCCTTTCCTAAAGGAAGCTCCAGTGTTTCCTATGATAAAGGAGATAAGATAGGAAGCGCTGAAGCTCCTTTCGTTGTCATTTCGAGAAGTGGATCAGCTCTTATCATCGCGGCTGCTGCTCAGATACTTCAGCTGGTGTCACTCAGTTAGGAACCAGCATGTTACTTCAGTACAGATCTGCTCAACTGAGCAGATCCAACGTTGCTCTTTTGTTCTTTCATGCTGCTTTGTGTTAAAGTTTCTTAGTTTCATGTCTTACCACAACCGCACAAACCTTCAGTTAAACTGCTGCGTCTGTCTTAAAGTGAAACCTCAGGGAGCATCATGGGTAATCATGTGACCTCTTCTTTCTCCCACAGTTATGAGAAACGTCTGTTTTGAGAGGAAGCTGCTGTTCAGCCTGCAGACGAGGAATCCTTCCAACACACATTATGCAAACACACACACACACACACACTACTTACCAGACCTTCTCATATTCATGCACTAACTCACTTCTCATACAAACAAGTCCTTGAAGGTGAAGTGTAAACACACACACACACACACACACACACACACACACACACACACACACACACACACACACTCCACTCTTCCAAGGATCCATCAGTCTTCCTGCCAGTGTCATCTATGCATCGTCAGTGTTCAGTGTAACTGTTTGTGTGTGAAGGAGGGAGCTAAGCATTTATGGGTGTTGACCGGCACAGGTGTGACTGTGCTCTGATGAAGCCTGTCATGTTGTATCAGTGATCTCCAGTAAACTGGTGTGTTCAAGGCAAAAAAATGTCGTCCAAGAATAAAGCTCATGTTTTTCCACAATCTGCTGTTGTCGTGTTTTTGTCAGTTGTACAAGATTGTTTATGACAGTTTAGGAATTTATACTGTGTATATCTAATAAAATATATACAGTAATTTAACAGATATAGCTGATGTGGATTCATGTCTGTATTCTCATGTTACCCAGGAGGAGGAGGAGAGACGTGCTGCAGCCTGTCACTGGTCACAATAAGTTCGTGTTCATCTGATGAAGGAAAGGGGAGAAGATGGTGGAACTGGAAATCAGTGACTAAGTTCATTTAATTGAGTTCTGTGTATATTTTTCAGTAGCTGTGCTTGGGTATTGTATTTTTTGTAAACTTTTGCTCCGCTACACTTAAAAACAAATATTAAACTTGTGATAAACCAAATACACTGTGTTCATCACAGAAAACCAATCACAGCCAACTCTTCCACTGTCATGTTGGAATGTTTTATGCCTTACTATACTATGATGTTTTTTGACTTTTTATGCCTTAATACACTATGACAATAGAACTTAACATAAACTTGGATTCATTCATTCATGGTGTATTGCTTGGTATTAACTGAATAACACATTAATTGATCAAGGACAGAATCAGCCTAAATTAACTAACAGCAATAGGGATCAACAGATTTTTCAGGGCTGATTCGATTATTAGTAATCATAGAGACAGAAATATTCAGAACTGATGCCAATACAAAACCACTGCTACATAAAGACACTTGCCATGGCTTTAATTTTGTATTATTTTCTATTATTTTGTCCAACCCATTTATATCAACAAAGATAGGCTGAATAACAGAAACACCTCTGGATAAACAGTATAATCTTCATGAAGTATGATTTATTACAGGGCTGTTGTATTAGACTTTATCAGTTTTAGCAAGATGTTCCTAATAAATTGTCAGCTGAGTGTACATTAATAATTATCAGCTGTGAGCACAGGCTGCAAAGAGCCTGACTGGAATGAACTGATTGCTTTTGGTGCTGTTTTCACCTGGGAACTGATACTGGCTCCCTGGCAGCCTAAAGATGTTGTTTAATACTTTTATCATATATTATTATTATCATCCCCATATAAGATGTTTTACCCTCCTCTTCCCCTTTTAAAAATGAAGCAGAGTAACAGTTTACTCAGAGTACATCACCTTTCATTAACAGCAGTGAGTGACCGTTTACGTGCTGACGTCACTGTAGTGTCTCATCGCCAGTCTCTGGAGTTTCTGTTTCCGGTAGAGTTTATTGCTGCTCTATCTGAACACAGTTAATGTTGTTGTTTTCTTCATTACAGTGACTAACTACCTGCTGTACATTTAAACTGACCGGTTCTGCTAGGTAGGGGAAAATGACCCTACTTGTCACTTGATTTGTTACCTCAGTAAACGTTTTCGTTATGTGTTTATGGTCTGAATCTCTAGTCTCAGGTTTTCTTCAATACGACATGATGTTCATTTTTTAAATTATGGTCCTATTTAAAAGAAAATAGACGTTAAAGCAGAGTGGCTTTAGGGCGTGGCTACCGCGTCTTTGACACACAGAGGGACCTGCCTGTTAATCCGGATTTGACGTCAGAGCGATGTGTCGGACATTTGACTTGTCGTTGTGTTTTCAGGTCATCAAAGTTAGCTCCAACATGTTGTTTCCCTAAAAATGTCTTCTTCGACGTTCAGTTGTTCTTATTTCCGGTAAGTACATTTTGTTTTAAGCCTATTTCTTTGCTAGCCAAAATTAGCATCCTTGTTAATATCACAGTTCAGGTGAAGATGCACCTTGCTAACCAAGCTAGCCAGCTAGTGCTAGCGTTAGCTGATAACTAGCGATTGCTATGCTAACGGTACCTGGCCCCGCTGGGCTGATAACCTGTGTCAACCTGGGTTAGCCCGTGGAGGTGTTCAGTCAAAGCCCAATAAAAAGGTGAATTTAATCGACGTTAATCTAACGACGTTTGGTTTGTGTTTCTCCACATGTGACCCAGTTTAAGTGATCTGCGTTAGTGTAATGCGCAGCGTTAATGTTGGTTAATACATTGTCCATCGAGACGTCGTGATAGTTCAAGTTAAGATAACGTGACATATACAAAATGTGTAGAAAAATATTTGTCATTTAGAAGATTGTTGATTTAATACTCAAACCAGTCCTCAACTGAAGCAGACATTCATGCACCTATCGTGACAGCTGATCGATATTTGTGATTAACTGTGATCCACCGCATCTTAACTCTAGTGTTTGTGTTTTATTGTCATTTGAAAGGTTTCCACACTGTGAAAACTGAGTGATCTGTGCCAACAGAAGGAGGACCTCATGTACAGAGCAGCCCATTTGTTTCCATTCATCTGGTTGTGGAGAAGGGAGACTGCATGGACATCCTTAGTTCTCTAATGTGCTGTGATGGTGATGATGGTAGAAAACCTCTCCCAGTTCATCTTCCTCTGATGAAATGACAGACTAACTGCTGATGAGTTAGTTTATTATTCT